GTATTGTTTTATAGTCAGCTACGGACCGGACCCCTGGACTGGCTAATTTACAATGCACGTCTGGAGCCGGCGCCCGGCCTAGACATCCGGCATTTGACGTGCCGTGTGCCGTCTGTACTGACTCACCGTGTACCGTATACAGTGCCGCATGCCGACTGTTTACCGTCTATAATGATTTACAGTGCCGAGTGCCAACTTTGTACCATCTATAATGATTTAGAGTACGGTGTGACAACTGCAGGAACGAACTGGGTACCATCTATAATGTTGCAATGATCTGTAATCATCAAAAGTGCCGTGTACCGTGTGCGGGGACAAACTGTGGACAATCTATAGTGGTTTACAGTGCTGGGTACTGTCTGCAGGAACGATCTGTGCACCATCCATAATGATTTTAGTACTGTGTAATGTCCGCAGGAAAGAACTCTGTATAATCTAAAATTGATTTGGATCAGAGTGTTAACAGTGCTGTGTAAGATTGCTAAGGAGACAATTGAATACTGGCTCTAGCATGACTGAGGGAGACAACTAAATATTGGCTCTAGGATGACTGAGGGAGACAAATGAATACTGGCTCTAGAATGACTGAGGGAGACAACTAAATATTGGCTCTAGGATGACTAAGGGAGATAAATGAATACTGGCTCTAGGATGACTGAAGGAGAAAAATGAATACTGGCTCTAGGATGACTAAGGGAGACAAATGAATACTGGCTCTAGGATGACTGAGGAGTGAGGGACACAACTACTGAGTACTGACTCCAGGATGACTGAGGGAGACAAATGAATACTGGCTCTAGGATGACTGAGGGAGACTAATGAATACTGGCTCTAGGATGACTGAGGGAGACAACTAAATATTGGCTCTAGGATGACTGAGGGAGACAAATGAATACTGGCTCTAGGATGACTGAGGGAGACTAATGAATACTGGCTCTAGGATGACTGAGGGAGACTATTGAATACTGGCTCTAGGATGACTGAGGGAGACAAATGAGTACTGGCTCTAGAATGACTGAGGGAGACAATTGAATACAGGCTCTAGAATGACTGAGGGAAACAACTAAATATTGGCTCTAGGATGACTGAGGAGTGAGGGACACAACTACTGAGTACTGACTCCAGGATGACTCAGGGAGACAAATGAATACTGGCTCTAGGATGACTGAGGGAGACATCAACTGAGTACTGGCTCTAGGATGACTGAGGGAGACAACAACTAAACACTGGCTCTAGGATGACTGAGGGAGACAACAACTGAGTACTGGCTCTAGGATGACTGAGGGAGACAATAACTGAGTACTGGCTCTAGGATGACTGAGGGAGACAATAAGTGAGTACTGGCTCTAGGATGACTGAGGGAGACAACAACTAAACACTGGCTCTGAAATGACTGAGGGAGACAACAACTACTCACTGGCTCTAGGATGACTGAGGGAGACAACAACTACTCACTGGCTCTAGGATGACTGAGGGAGACAACAACTACTCACTGGCTCTAGGATGACTGAGGGAGACAACAACTACTCACTGGCTCTAGGATGACTGAGGGAGACAACAACTACTCACTGGCTCTAGGATGACTGAGGGAGACAACAACTACTCACTGGCTCTAGGATGACTGAGGGAGACAACAACTACTCACTGGCTCTAGGATGACTGAGGGAGACATCAACTGAGTACTGGCTCTAGGATGACTGAGGGAGACAACAACTGAGTACTGGCTCTAGGATGACTGAGGGAGACATCAACTGAGTACTGGCTCTAGGATGACTGAGGGAGACAACAACTACTCACTGGCTCTAGGATGACTGAGGGAGACAACAACTAAACACTGGTTCTGAAATGACTAAGGGAGACAACAATTAAACACTGGCTCTAGAATGACTGAGGGAGACATCAACTGAGTACTGGCTCTAGGATGACTGAGGGAGACATCAACCGAGTACTGGCTCTAGAATGACTGAGGGAGACATCAACCGAGTACTGGCTCTAGGAAGACTGAGGGAGACATCAACCGAGTACTGGCTCTAGAATGACTGAGGGAGACATCAACCATGTACTGGCTCTAGGATGACTGAGGGAGACATCAACCGAGTACTGGCTCTAGAATGACTGAGGGAGACATCAACCGAGTACTGGCTCTAGGATGACTGAGGGAGACATCGACTGAGTACTGGCTCTAGGATGACTGAGGGAGACATCAACCGAGTACTGGCTCTAGGATGACTGAGGGAGTTAACTGTGTTACTGGCTCTATGATGACTGAGGGATGCAATTGAATACTGACTCTAAGATGACTTGAGGGAGACAACAACTGAGTACTGGCTCTTGAATGACTAAGGGAGACAACAATCACTCACTGGCTCTAGAATGACTGAGGGAGACAACAACTGAGTACTAGCTCTAGGATGACTGAGGAAGACAACTGAGTACTCGCTCTAGGGTGATTGAGGAAGACAACTGAGTACTGGCCCTATGAATCCCGAGGGTTCAAACGAACACTGGCTGACCGAGACAGAGATGACCGACAGAGACAACTGAACCAATGTTTGGGGAGGACGACTGAACACTGGCTCAAAGATTATTGGGGGGAACAGATGAAAACTGACTCTAAGATTACTGGGTGGGGCGGTGGGACAACTGAATACTGACTCTAAGGCCAGGTTTAAAAGATGCCAATTGATGAGAAGGTTGTCTTTGCAAAAATGGCAATTAAATGTGAGGGCAGTTTTCAAAGTAATGGCCTGAAGAGTTAACATGAAGCCAATAATTTCATGCCAGTCAGCTGTCTTCTGACAATTGTCTCAACTACCGAGCTTTTGTAAACCTGGCTTAAGATTAATGAAGACAACCGAACACTGGTTCAAAGATGGCTGCTGGGAGACAACTGGCTCAAAGAGAGGGACCACTGCACACTGGCTCTAAGATAACCAAGGGAGACAACCAAAACCAAACATTGGTTGAAAATAACTGATGATGACAACCTTACACTGGTTAAGAGGTGGTGTTGGATGCTGTGTTTGTGAAGACACTTCTTGGGGGCGAAATTGTGCCCTGCAGGACACGTTGTCTAGGTGGCTCTATATTTTACTTCAGCTAGGCATTTAACAACCTCTGGTTGGCAACAGACAAGTAAGGAACAGAGGATACACCCCTTGGTACACTTAAGTGGTGGTGCACTAGTGCTGGTGTTTGGCAAAGTCCAACACCAGCCCGTCGCCAACATGTAGTACAACACTGGAATTATTTGGTTGAACAGGGAAAGAACAAACTATTACACTAATTTCTGGGATGGAACGGGAGTTCCATCAACATTCTAAGGCCGAGCCTGCATTCATTGATGGGATTACCTTGGTTCTCTTTTAAGGTCGCAAGGAAACCGCAATGTCTGGTGACCAGTGTTGCCAAGATTGCGGGAGACCATCACAATATCGAGCATATTTTAATATTGAGCCCAATATCAAAATATGCTCAAAACTGTGACCGCGATCACAAGCGACAATCACGGTATTACCGAAAGAGCGAAAAAATATGCTCACAAGTGATCCTATGGTCGCGGGAGACGATCACGAAGTCACTAAGACTGCAATATATGCCCACGAGTGTTGCTGCAATCGCAAGGGACAGTTACGGTACTGCCTAGACCTAGTCAAGAGTGTTGCCCTGATTGCAGGAGACGATCATGTTTTCGCAGAGACCGGGAGTACACAGGTCTGTTTACAAAAAGAATTATTTTACTTATAACTTTTATTAAAGGCTTTCGCTGCTCGCTGGTCGGAGGTTGGAGACCCCTGGTCTGGACTATTAAGGTATCCTCCACCTACTCCCTTCATTAATACATCCAGGAGGTTAGACTCCTCAACAGCATCGCCGAGCTGCTATTGATGAAATTGCACAAGATCAACCAAAGGTGGTTCCTTTTCGGCAGAAGAGCCTCCATGATCTACAATGGTGTTGTTGGCAGCGGGGATTCAACCTCCATCCTGCCATCTACCACACTGGTCTCTACTGCTCATTTTGGAGGAGATTAAGAAGATTTCTTCATTCTCTTTCTCTACGCAATCTTTCATTATCTATGCTGTCAGTGATCGTACAGATTTCTTGCCAGTGGAGACCTTCGGACTCTGGAGCTACGCCTAAAAAGGTTCAACTCCTATTCCAATGTTGCTTTTATTTACTCAGCTCTGCTGTTCAAAATGGTTTTGTGAGCTGTTATTCAAAGTCATGTCTGTGTGTTAACCAGCATTGCTGGGCAAGGGGCGGCCCAGAAAAGCCAGGAACGGGTATATCCTCGGGAACAATACTTCTACCCCTTTTCCTAGAGGCCCCAACCTCCGTTCACCCAATACCCCAATACCTGGCGTGACGGGGGTTCATAAAAACACCTTGAAAAGAACCGAGAGAGACTCAACCTAAGAATACCCGTCGGCAGTGAAAAGCAAATATGTGCACATTTTGTGCCCCAACTACACAACAGGGGCACCAATCTCAGAGATCTCAGAGATTACAAATGGATATTATTTTTAGTAGAATCTAATGAAAAGCAGAGAATACTACAACGTATTTTCACACGGATACACAGGAGTCATTCAAATGTATACATTAACTAAACGATTCTACGTATACTTCCATTAAGAGAACTTTAAGGAGGATACAGTGTGATTATTTTGCATCGATCGGCTAGCTAAGCTATGGTTAATAACTTTATAGTGCGAATAAATCTCCTCAAATTAAATAATACATGTTTTCACAATACTTAAGATAACACTGGTCCAGTAAAGACACGCTGTGGATACTTTAATTGTGAAAATATTTCCATAACTTAGTTCAACTGAAGTTCTTGGAGCTTACATGCAGAAAAGTACAATTTTCAGATTCTTTACCCTAGTGTGTTTTCTTGGTGTTGGAGGATTGTCAGAGAGAGAATTCCTAACACAGTTAAAAACAAAATTATCAATCTAGGTGGCAAAAATATATTTCAAAAACGTGCAACTCACCTCATTGTCCAATTTCTTGAATTCCGAGTCGTCCTCGTCCACTTCAAAGTAAAGTTCCGTTGACGTGATCGAGATCATTCCCGGCGCGACGATGCCCGGCGCGACCAACTTGGCTTTCGTGCTGATATTGACAGGACCTGAGACAAAACAGAGTTTGTTTACTGACAGTTGCAATAAAGGAGTGTTTTGAAGTTATGTTTATCAATGTTCTAGGATTTTACCCTCTTCCTACAGTCATATTATCAGGTAGTTCATACATGCAGGAGGATCAATTTTCCCTTTCATTGTTATCGACAAAAACAATGGGACTAAAAGTTGCAAAGAGGTAGGAATAGATTACAATAATCAGGGGAGGGGGTAAAGTATGCTGGAACTGTGTTGGTTTCAGATTTGAACTAGTACCTCGAGCATGACAGCGTTTTTATTCATAGCCTTGTAAACAAACAAGCAGCGACTTAGGAGGTTGGTCAATCAAGTCTTTTGAATGTGACTGATATTTTAGATATGTTAGATATATTCAATTCATCTTCAAGGCAAGGTACAATTTAGTTTGTGATGATGCTGTCACCTGCGGGATATCAAAATTTGACAAGTTTTAATCCGTTCATCTAGCAACTTTCAGTTTGGATGTGGTTTCAGTCCCAGGGTGTGCAAACCCTTCCTCTTTAAAATAATCCTCAACATGTTAGAACGATTTCATAGACTATTTACCCCTAAATCCAATCAACCTAAATTTCCAATACATAGCACGTAGTTTCTACTGAGAGCTGTTAGTGTGTACGTACCGGTCAGGTCAACATCGAGGTCTCGGTCGTCGGTGAGAAGCTCGCTGTCATCCATGAGGTCTGATGATTGTCCTTGCTGTGTGTGAGACGCAGCCAAATGTGCGTGGAACTCTTCACGAGCCTGTCAACATATAAACTATGTCAAACTCCAAGGCACAACTACAGTGGAACATTATCAACAAGATTCTTCATTTCATAAAACTCATAATAATAGGTAAAAGTAAATTTTTTAATGATGAGTTGAGAGTTTGGTCGATGTTATGTTTACAGCATGAAACTTTATATTTAAATTCATTTCCATTCTAGCTCCTGAGCTGTTGTATTCAATATAATAAATAGGTTACATACCTTATAAATCCGACAAACAGCTCATTTTAATTGAAGGTCGTTTACATGTTTCGGCTTGTATCGGCCATTGTCAAAACGTTGCAGTTGGATGGTGAAATCCTTGTCATTGTTTTCTACTAAAAGTACATACACAAACACATACACACGGACGGGACGAAAACATTACGAAAAACGAATAAAACAAAAAATAGTTAAAACTTTAAATAATTCTGAATGAAAAACTTAAATTCAAATCCCATCACATTTTCAATAGCATATTAAAACAAAGGCAGAGTTCGACGCCCATTGGTCAGCAGTCCACATCAGCTGATAAGACAACACCGACACAACTAGTCCAGTCTGCATCCTGACCTTGACAACGGTGTGCGTGCGTCCTGCCCGTGTATTTAATAGGCCTATTTAAAGTTTTATTCGTTTTTCGTAATGTTTTCGTCCCGTCCGTGTGTATGTGTTTGTGTATGTACTTTTAGTAGAAAACAATGACAAGGATTTCACCATCCAACTGCAACGTTTTGACAATGGCCGATACAAGCCGAAACATGTAAACGACCTTCAATTAAAATGAGCTGTTTGTCGGATTTATAAGGTATGTAACCTATTTATTATATTTAATTATATAGCCACTATGGTTCAAACCTTGTATATTAGGCCTACACTTGGTCCGAGAAATCGGTTTGGGCCGAAAATACTTTTCAGGCTAAGCTAAGATCAGGTCATTCATACTAGAAGTTTGGGATGGATCTATTCAATCCTCTCACAATCACATCAAGATTGAGCCATAGAAAAATTCACAATTTTCCACTATGCAGAAGACGTTAAAAATTTCACAGCAATCACAGAAATGTACAATATTGTATACACTGATTATAGTATATTCATAAGAACAAATCTTATTCTTTAAGTGAGTACTTTTCAAATCAACTCAATTCTGTCCCAAGACCTTCCAGTGAACATTTTTGCCCCAACCCCAAAGTCAAAAATGCAGGTCTTCAGGTAAGGTACCGTATGTGTTCAAAGATTTTCAAAATATTTTCCTAAACTCGTAAAAATAAATTTAAATTTTAACAAAGCCTCTCATTTCTTAGCTATATTCCAACACCGACCAGTGACTAGATTGTACCTGTAGTATGGCATCCTCAGGTGCTCCGTGTTCTAGAGCTGCCTTCAGCGTGGCCTGTGGGTGACTCGAGCCTCGCGGGTTGTGGACAAACCTCTTCCTTCTTCTGGCATCATCCTCCCACGCGTCCAGCTTCCAGAACTCTTGCCTGAGGAAAAAATATCCACCAATAATAATGTGAAGATAAAAAACATGTTAAAATATGCATACTAAATTGATGTACTTCGATTCATACTCTTGAAAGGGTTAATTTTGGTGTAATCAAGATCTTCATTTAGCAATAGTCCTCTCTTTGACAAAGTACTAAAGGAATTTATTTTTTAACAAACCAACACAAAACATCAACACAGGTGAAAGTTTCCCCACCTGGCGTGCATAGGATCCGTGTATCCCCAGGCGCCATGTTTGTTGGACAAAATGTTGCATATCTTCTCCAGCAGCCGACCTGCGATGACGTTATCTCTACGTCTCGCAGCTGTTATCAGGTGATCACACATCCTCTCCTCTTCTCTACGGTCGAGTAGGGTCTGAGCACATTGCGACTGAAAAAAAGGGGAGATTAGTTTTGCCTGAATACTGTACTAATAGATTAATTTATTTTATTCTTATTGGACTGACCCAACTACATTGAATTCTGTAAGGGTGGGACAACAATAAAAAAAAATTTATTTTTAAAAGCCATTAAGGAAGAAAGAATACACAAATAAGTCAACCTAGAATATTGTGAGGTAATAGCACTCAAAAATTCACAACAAAATAAGAATGATGTTCCTCCCTACAATGGGTACCGTATTAAACATCAACAAAGCATTTCACACAAAGCAATTAAGAACTGCAGCTAAAAGCACCCAAAAGAAAGCAGGTGTTCTACCAGCTTATGTGGTACTGTAGTTCACTTTTATTTGGTAGGTTGGTTGTGCATCTACTCCTTCTTCCTTATTGTGTTTCTAATCCAAGTCCTCCTTACTGAACCCAACATGTTGATGCTAAATTTTGTATTAACTAAGATTTAAATTGATTCCTTACAATTTTTTTTCAGAAACTTCATAAGTACAAATATTCTCTCTCACAAAAGCAGAGCACATCACTTGAAGAATTAAATCTTAAGCCTCTTTTTTTCCAGGGGAAAATCTCAATACTATCAAACAAATGAATAATGACCAACTTACTTTCAATATACAATCAATATTTAAGGTCACTATAATCAGATATGTATTACATAGAGGTGACAAGGTAAACTGGAATGTTTGCAGACCTACCTCGAAGTCAGCATGTTTGAGTACATCGTCGGCCCTCATCCTGTTGAGGATGAACTCGGCTTCGTTTGCAACTCGAACTATGTGATCCTTCATAGCATGGGACAACAACCTGGACAAAAGATAAATATAGGGTGAATCAAACAAGATATCTTTGAATGGTGTGGACACATAACTTCTTGAGATGTGTAAAATATTTACTACTGAAACAGGAAATGTGGAGGGACTGGAAATTAAGTATCAAACTTAAACCAATTCTCAATTTGGATTTAGTAGTGGAAGAAAGAAAAATGCATTTTTTTTTGTGATTGAGTTAAGGCGTAATCCAGAGTAAGGTGAAATAACACAGAAACAAAATCCATTGTAAATATGTTCAAAACCATTAGAATAATACATTCCCCCTGTTCTTAAACCCATTCTTTGGCTCTATCTTCCACTGAAATCACAAAATGTTTCTGTTTTGAAGCTTTCAAATATCGTTAACAATAACTGATTTAATAAAACCACGACTCCTGTGACTGTAAAATATAGGAAGGGATATTCGTTCCCTCAGCCACTGGTCTCGGACTAAGACTTGAGAGCAGAAATTTGCAGGTAAGAGGGATTATAGTATACAGAACACTAAAAAAGAGCCTAAAGCTTGCCGGATCACTTCCAAGTACAGACGGGGGAAACTACATAAGTATACAACCATACGAATGTCACATGGGAAACAGCGCTGGAATTTCATGGTACTTGATCATCCACAGTTGGACAATCGAGACTCTACTGTATCATTACTAACTGATAAATAAATGTTATGACTCAATTTATTTACCTTCCCTCGTTGATCAGTTCTATGAAGGCCAGTCCTGCGTGTTTCTGTAGTGAGTTTTGCCACTCCTGAGAACACAGCAGCATCACCAGCTCAACCACAGAGTGGCTGTTCTTGAATGTCGTCAGTCCTGAACAAACAGTATGTCAACGTAAGTAACATTGTAAGACTCAAAGTAAAGAAAAGAATACCTATGTTTCAGAAAACTAGCTGCAGTGAAATTCAGCAAAAATACTCTGGTAATCTTGATTTCTTAGCAAACCTGTGAATCACGTTTATGTAAGTTCCCTAAAACCCTATTCCAGTGTTATTTACTACCCTGGTGGCAAAATGTACTACATAATGTCTTAGTTTTAATTTTTGATGCAAGGTAGATGAACGTATTCTCACCTTTACCCTCCATGAGCAGTTCTTGTCCGTGAGAGCCGACCAGAGTCTTGGAGAGGAATGGAGCAAAGTCAACCATGATCTCCCTCAGTAGGGGACACACGGAGCCGAGGGCAGTCTCTAGTTGTTGTGTGAGTGACGCCTCTCGTGACGGCGTGGGTACAGACATGGGCAGCGGTACACTCTTCATTGGACCCAGGTCCTCTGGAGGCACCCGTGGGGGTGTGGGCGGCTCACCCGGGGGTACCCGGACCACACTTATCTCCCCCCGCGGCTTCTCCCCCCGCTGGAGATTACCTTCTGCGTCCAGAGCTGCTGTAAGCAAACAGTCTTTTGTAATAATCGAGAGTAGGAGTATAATCGTCTAAGTACAATCAGGGCAGCTAAGGGTCATGATAAAATCGATTTATGACACTCGATAATCCCAAAGGAGTGATACAAGGAACACGGAAGGTTGGGGAAGATCATAGTACATAGAAAACCGCAATGTAAAAAGAGAAAGATCCAACCTAGAAAACTTTGAGAAAATTTTATTATGATTGAGATGTTAGTTATATTCCCTTCTCTTAAAACCTCATAGCTTAGGAATATTCCTCAGCTGTCTTTTACAGATGAATTGATTACGTTCGGAATCAAAACCGCGCTAAAATAAAATCTGACTTTGATTGCCAAAAATGCAAAGTATTGTAAAAAATCACATACAATTGCATAAACATTACAGATTCTAACAGAGTTCAAAACATCGTCTTGCAAAGATAGTGAACAAATTTTATACAAAACAAACATAAAGCTTCCTCTAGCTACATTTTGTACCTCTAAAGTGCGACATATTGTGGATATTTCTAGGATCCTCGTGCATGTTCTGCGTGTCCTCGTTGAGATTGACGTCTGTCCAACTCTCGTCGTTAGTCGTCAAGTTGGTGTTCTTGTTGTCGTCCGTTGTGTTGCTGTCAACGTCTGAGGCCGGCTGTGAGTTGACGGATATCACCTCGTCTACAGAGCCTATACTCTGTGGCACAACAGTCAAGTTATAAACTAATTTCTTTTTATTCAAAATATACTTACTTGTTTAAATAGAGTAAAAACACAATAAATATAACATTTGTATTTCAGATTTGAGGGGGTTTTAATGTGTATTTAAAAAAAATGGGTATGTTAGTAGGATGCCGAAAAGTAAGAGTCAGTGTATTTAAAATTCCTACTTAAACTCTATTTGGGCGTTCAATTTTTAATCCCATCTTCATTTGGATACTACGATGTCTAAATCTGCTTAGAAAACCAAAACATTTTGTACATGTTAGCAAACATACAATGCCTAAATGTAATACTACAATTTAATACTACAAATATCATAAAACATATTATACTTATGAAAAAGTCAAAAATCGATTGCAGGAAAATACAGTTGGCTCTAGCACAAATGAATAATACAAGAGACGCCAAAAATAAGTGGATGGGTGATGGGAAATAGGACAAAATCAGACTAATATGAAAAAATAAACTATTAAACCAACAAAAAACTAACAAAAACAAACTATTTACAAAGAGCATTGGTATACAAAAATCAAATGAAAAACAATGAAAAAATATTGGAGTAATACTACAAAAACAATCATACTACGGATACAAATAACTGATAAAATGGAAGAAAAGCCCTTGGAAGACGCATGGGGAGTACAAAATAAAACTGCAAAAACGCATAAACATAAAAGATTGAAAACAAACAAAAACCAAGCAACTGCTAATTCTACCTTGGTTGTTTGGTTGACAACGTGATGTCTCGAGTTTCTGGAATATCTTGTGTCTTCCATATCATAGCAAGGATGTGCGAAAGGAGTTCTCGCCTACAATACCAAACTGGGATAACTAATGTGAAAAATGTTAAGAGTTCACCTTATAGGTTTTAATTTTTAAATTTACGTGTGCTAACTCAATGCAATCAATTCAATTTCAAAACAACAACTGATGGAACATAGAAGTTAGTGTCGTTAGTGAGATAGTAAAATATATTGTGTTTCAAATTTGTTGGAAGGAATTTCACACAATGCATGTATAGGTAATTTTAGGGAGCAGCAGCAGTTCGGTGTCAAAGATAGTTTTTAATTCCCTTCTAACCAATAGCAGAAAAGTGTGTGTGTGTGTGTGCAATAGCAGTGTGTCTATGTGTGAAAAGTGTTTTGGTAGGTTGCGTAGCTAAGGTACAATAGTTGTGTATAGGACCTCAGTAAATCACCAAATCAACATTGGGACAGAAAATGTTTTGCAACCTGCAACCCGTACCACACACGATAACCATATTAAGAGAAAAGTGCACGACTAAAGAACAATGACGAATAGAATCAACCTTCTTCAACAAGAGATTGAATCACAGTGATAAAACAAATCTAAAGAGTCTCTCTCTCTTTTAGACCTAACAGATTACAATTCATGGAACCAATGAACTGTAATAAATATGTTAAGAATTTTCTGAAAACAATGAAAATTACAAGTGGTACAGTAACAGTAATTGCAGATGTGCAAACTTTCTTCTTGATACAAGATGGCTTCATTTTGTCTACTTTTAATCTTAAATACTCAAGCTAGAGCAAGGAGAAACAGATTTTAATGTATACGAGAGAAACTGTGATTTTCTTAAGGTTGCTAAAATGTAAATTTTTTATCAAAAAGAGTTCAAAATCTGTGTTGACGTAAAGGCTTGACTACAAATTTGATTAAAGAACCCTCAAGTTTTGTTAGTATATTATCTAAAGGTAATTTTTCCTCGCCAATATCACTGACTCCATCTAGAACTTATTCTACAGATCATAACCTTTCATCATAGGACAGTAAGAAAAAATGGTATTACTTTGATGGATGCGGGCGGAACGTCGTCTCTGTCCGTGAACACGGAGGAATTGTTTCCTTCCACAACAATAACGTCACACTCGCCATCCCCTGCAATCATTAACAATGTGTTATTGATATGAAGGGAAAATATTCTGAATCCTCAAAAAACATTGAAATAGAAAATGAGCAAATTGTAAAAAAAAATAACTTGACCACTATTTTTCATAAAGATATGTTGGAAAGTCTTTAAGAGTCTTACAAGTGCACTTAAAATCATTTAAACCCCCCTCTCCTATTATTAAAATTTATTTTCTTAGTTTATTTTAAAAGAAATCTTAAAGCATAGTAAAATTTCTGTAGAGGAAAGACAGGTATACTTAATGTATTCTTAAAATAAATAATTTATTCAATCTTTATTTGTTCAATTTTTGAAACTATACTTTATTACAATATTACTATACCATAAAATATTTTGTAATGTAAGAACATTGAAATGTTCTAAAATGAATACCTATAAAGATAACTTTATTCAAGAAATGAAAATTAAAAAATCTCCCAATCAATTGCCATCAAAAGTAAAAAGAAACGTTTCTAAATTCTAATCATCAATAAAAAATGTGTTGATTCTTATTTTAACATGCGTTTTAACAGTTTAAAAAATTAATCAGTATATTGTGGAAAACAAATATAAATCTTATAAAATATTTAAAGACGTGCTAATAAAAAAATATGACATGCAGTAAGTGCTGGAAAAAAAACAGTAAAAACATTATTTTTTGAATACGAAATACAGATTACAAATTAATCTACAAACTTTAGTGATTATCTTCTGAAACATTTTGAGCCTCATATTGTTTCTAAAATGTTTGTTGAAGATACAAATAATTTTAAAATTATCTGATAATAAAATCATAGATAAAACATACTCCCTTAGTAGATTTCTCATCCTTATGGAACAGCTGAAGACAATTTTATTGTTAGTTCATGTACGGTTTATGTAGAGGTCGTGTTTTGTTTACAATTTGTTTCCCGTTATTACAGCCATTTAAAACCTCGTTTAACCAAATAATACGATCTAATCATAAACAATAACTTGTCCCCTAGTTATATAACCAAACAGTAAAGCAGAAATCAAGAAATTAACCCTAAAATAATTGAAACAAAGTTTCATCGACACTAGCGCCTTTGTGTCACGTACATGAACTAGACACGAAAAACGTGCTTCAAAATTTACAATGGGATGAGAAGTCTACTTGTGTTGGTTAGTCTATGATAAAATTTAACATTTTTTTGTTGTTTTGTTTGTAGAACTACATGTAACAAAATAAAAACTTATTTTTTTAGTATGAGAAGACAATTTGCATATTTTTTATTACAAGATTTGAACACTGTAAAGTGTAAAAATGTGTAAATAACTACCGAAAATTACATTTAAATCGTCTACAGTTTATTCTTTTAAGATCTCAGGTCTGAAAATGTGAAGGTTAATCTGTGAAGCTGGAGTTTGGATTAATCTTTGAAACTGTGACTATTTAACTCTGAATCTGATTTTTGAAACGGATAAAAAATGTCCAAAACATGAATTGTTACAAAGGTTTAAATACCTGCTATCAAGCAATCCATTTAATTGCAGTTGAAACTAGTTGCAACTGCAATTAAATGGATTGCTTGATAGCAGGTATTTAAACCTTTTTAATATTATTTGGCAATCCGGAGGCTACATCCACAATGAAATTGTTACAAGCCTGTCTGCTGGAATAAATTAATTGATTGTCGGTTATCTGTTCAAAAAGCAGTTATCTGTTCTAACACAGGTTTAACTTATTTAACTTAGTTAAGCTTGATTTCATGCCAAGAAATCAATAACAATATTTTTTCCCAAAAACACATAACCAACAAATGATATTGACAACATCCATGCACATGCAGGATTCCAAAAGCCATAGAAACAAAACATAAATATGATTCTTGTCAGCGTATACTGTGGGTGCACTGCCTCAAAGCAAAAATTCTACGCGAAACATAACCATTGCGGTACACTTGAATATAAGATTTACAAAGTTGTAACGGTTTACAGTTAATCTTATAAACTTTATGGGTGAGAGGGCTTGGTTTAGAGGATTAATACTAAAGAACTCCGCTAGTCCGATCACAAAGGGTCAAAGTTTAAGTTCAATTATTTTTATTTGTTTGATTTGAGTATGTTTTCTTTTCATTTCCACTCGGTCAGCTATTAGTTAAATTGTTTAGCACAATTTAAATTTCCATTTCCATTAACAAAATAAGAATTTGGAAAAGTTTTTGTTTGGTTTTATTAAAATCGTTAAGGGGAATTTATTTATAGATCAGTTTACAAGCAGTAGGGGAATTCCAACACATCCATACTAATCTTTGCCTTAAAAACACCATCTTTTTCTGACAACTTTTATAAATCTAGTGGTGTAGTGGGGCAGAACAAATTTAGAACAACATACATAGCTACTCAGTAAAAAAAATCCTACATATTAATAAGGTTAATAAGGATCAAGTTTTTCTGGAGTTACAACACAACAATGGCGCAAATGGTCTAAACAATTTAAAACTGCGTTCAAATAAGTTATACGTCAACAGTGATCACGGAGAAATCGTGAACATCTCCCATGTCAGTCTCTTCTCAGATTGGAAAATTTTCTCTTCACCACTGTATAAATAAGGAAAAAATTCTTTCAACCCTGTGGGCTACACCAACTTGAGAACGATTTCATTCTCTAGCAACATCAGTGACGATCCATTCTACAAATTAAACTTAATGAGTCACATTAACAAACATTCATTTAAAGTACGACAAGCACTTTGTTTTCGTAGTCGGACTAGCGAAGTTCATAGCCAACAAGAACCATGGGGAGACAGCGATGCAAGCGATGCTCGGCTAACCTTGATGTGGCAAGCCCGGGTAGCGCAAGGCTTTCCCCGTGTTGTTGATGTTATTATTATTGTTGTTGCGGAGAAGATGGGAAGGTGCAGGTGGAGCGTTTGGGTGGGAATTGGGGAGAAACTGAGGATAAACGTGATGGGACCATTGGGGAAACAGGGGACGGGCTCCACTGCAATCTGTTAAATACAAAACCTGTTAAAGTATGTCCAGCTTCAGGTACTTTTATGCAAGAGCTCTGACGTAAGACAAAAGACAGAAATTTTATACTACAGGCTTTTTTGAAACTAAATTCAAGCTGCGTAAAAATAATCGAGAAAGTGCAGCTAAAACATCTGTCTTTTTTGTACATCAGAAAACACATGCGTAAAAGCCCTATTAGAAGTAAAAGAATTTAAGAAAATGTGAAAAGACGCTAGGAATTTAATTATGAATTTATGAAGAATCTATTTATTTCTGTACAAAAAGGTTAAACCATTATTACACTATTTTTAGATTTTAGAGAAGAAAACTTCAGTTCAAAATGCCTTTTAAATTTTGAAACATTAACTTTTGCATAAAAAGATTTGAATGAAATAACGTAATTCTACATTCATACAGCTTTAACTGCCTTTAATAATTTGACATTGTAGTATCCACAAATTGGTTAGTAGACCTAATTTTTTTAAATATTAGAGTTGATGTTTTTGATTTAAATAATAGTTTTTGATCCAATACATTTATTTGATATCTCTCTAAAACTACTAGTCAGCATTAAATAACAAATTGTTTTTGTTTTGGGAAGTAAAGTAATTAAAACAAAATTTATGATCTAATGAATGAGTATTTTAGACTAATTATAGAATACTGTTTTTAATAATAAAATCTTATATGTACCCACAATAAGTTGAAAAAATATAAGTTACTCAAAATCAATATTTATCATAAAAATTGTAATCAATGGCAAAATCAAGCCTAGTGAACTTTCCAGTCGGTGATTCTATCAGTGTAGCAGTGAGGTTCAGCATCCCTCCACCAGAGTGTAGCAGCGAGGTAGCTTACCTGGGGGGCTGTCTGTGGGGGGGTGGGGAGCCCCGTTGGTGCGCAGAGTAGCCAAGGGGGGCGAGGGGGGCCGTACAGCCACGGGGGGCTCCAGTATGTCCCGGTACTTGGACACCATCAGCACGGAGATGAAGTAAACAATCGCCAGCGAGAGGAACTGTGCTTGTTTTGTCTCCTCCTGTAATGTAAATGACCACGCTAAATAAATGCATTCACAAATATTTGTTTTGTCGAATCATGAACTTTGGTAGATGAAAGTGTCCAGCGTCGCCTCTCAAAGACCAAGATTTGACATTCTACTTCCTATTTCTAGTTAAATATCTGTTCATGTCTTTCATAGTTAAAACTACAGAAATGATCTTTTTGTTTTGTTTTTGGAAATAAGGTTTTTAGGAAAAGTTTTTTGGTCTACGAAGGAAGGATAGTGGAGGAGAAAACTGAATCAAGAACTAAGAGAACCAGGACAGATATAGTGTGTGTTTGTTTAAATGTAGGATTAGTTGAGCTGAGTATGTTTTGATAAGAGGGGATGACAATAATTTCAAACAAATAATAAAATGTAACCCTAAAGGAAGACAACGGAGAGGAAGGCTATGCAAAAAATTGTGGAAGCCTAATGATGAAGTTTTGAGGTGTTTTTTTTTTTTCACACTGACACACAAAGGTGTGTATTTTAATGGGAAGATGAGTAAACGATAAGTGTTGCATGAATGACTGACTAAGATCAGATGGTTTTTTAGTCAGGATCATTTATTTGAAGCTTGATAAAGGAGGTTAGATGACTGATATGGAGAAAACAGGAGCAACTGAGGAAGGCAAAGGAGATCAACACAGGTATAGGACTTTCTTGTTTCCAAATATCTACAACTCTGGGACTAGTAAGAAACTTAAGTAAAACTTCAGAATACTTACAACATCTCTATAGATCACAGCTCGCAATCTGTTAACGTCCATGTCTTGAAGCAGCTTTTCAGGATCTTTCACTGGTGTTGATTGGTTTGACAGTTTATCCACTATGTTCTGAAAAATTACAATTCATTATTACCACACCGATAGTAACGAATAACAATAAAGTCGAAAATACGAGTGAAACTCTTATAAAAACCAAGTGGATCCGGTTCGGTTCAGATGCTTAAATAAAGTATTCATACTTTAATCACTTAATGACGACTGGGATGCAATTTAAAAAAATATTATAAAATAATCAAAATATAAGGTCCAAGAGTACTACCTTGGGGGACGCCTGCACGCCGCGTATGAGACTCTGAAGGTGTGCTGTCTTGTTGTTCAGCTGACCTCCTATCGAGGGTCTTCCTCGCTCCTTGCACTCCAGACAGTTGCGCACCGCACACGTACACACCTACACATACAACCAGATTACAGCACACACAGAATAATGCTGATTGGGACTCGTATAATGTGGTGAACGTAACAAAGTTAATCCTGACTGAGAAATGGAATTATTGATGTCAATGCTACAACCATTCACAAGACTATAAGAAATTTCTCTGAGGGTTGTTTTTTTTTTCTGTTTAGAAGATGTTGATGGCCTTCTTTAACCAAACAACTGCCTGTTTACATTGGGCTTCTGTCTGTGCATGGAATCAAACACACACAAGTCCTACGGTATAAGATCATGTTATACTGATTTTGATCATCGGAATCTTTGAAAAAAAATTAAGGAAAAGAGTGTGTGTAAAGAAAGAAATTGAATAAGCAAAACCATTATAGGTAGAAGATAGTCTAGTTAATTACTCCAGAAATGCATACATGATAATTGACAGAAAAGCAGTATTCAAATTCAGAAAAATCTATTTAAAAACTGAAAACATTATAATCAAAATTAAATTTGTATTCTCACAAGTCTTAGACATTGGCGCAAGATTCCGCCGCTGCTCATGTTCTTCTCGGCCTCTAGTTCACCAAAGTTTAACGATGAGGCGAACACAAGCACATCAGCCATGTTTACCAGACGTTGCAGAAATGAGACAGCCACTTCTACAGGCATCCCTTGTGTGGGTTCCATCACGTCCAGCTCACTCTGGGAAAAGAAGAGAAAACTGTGGTGATCGAAAGTGAAAATGAGCGGCAAAAGAGATAGGAGGATGGGGCCAATGGTGAATCAATGAAAAACAGAGTGACAAGGTGTGATAGGTAGTTAAATATAGAAGAGGGAGGTGGGGTAATGACCAGTAGAGTAAGAAGTATGGTGAAAAATTTTAAAAAAATAGAACATTTTGTAGTTATTAGCAGAAGAAAGAAGGAGGTAGTAATGACATTGAAAAAAGTGAGGAGGTATGTGGAATTGTCTGTTAAGGAAATATGAAGGAAGGTAGGAAAAGTGAGAGAGAAAATGAAATAATATGTCAACAAATAATATGCAATCTTTCAAATTATATAAAAGATCATTGGTAATGGCCACTAAAAGAAAAGATGGGAGAATTAATTTACAGTAAAAAATTATGAGAAGCTATTACGAACAACACATAAATCTAATTCAAGGTGATAAATAATTAATCTGATTAATCCTTACATAGATATTGCACCTAAGAAGACGCCCAATAGTGAGTATTTTAGTTGTAGGACTCAGCGAATATACAAGCTCAAACTGTACAAAATTGTGATGCCACTATTTCTGTTAAAAACGTCAGTGAGTGACACAAACCGATTCTTTGGTTATAAAAATACCTACAAACTGTAACACAATCTAAGATGTCAACTCGGCCGTAAACTATGTGGTCAGTGTACATACATTGGGTGAGGTGGCAGATGCGAGAAGGGGCAGTAAGCCTCCGCAAGCTATGATCAGATTGTCAGCCAGTTGGGAGATGAGGTGGACAGTGTTGACAACAAAGATGGCGTTCTCACTGCTGTTGACAAAGTCCAACACGGACTTGGTGGAGTGGCTGGAACAGACGACGGAACGTTAGCACAAACAAGGATTCCATACAAACACCAACTTGTAATTACAAAGAATTAGTCTGGAAGACAAAAGAATTTGTAACTCGAGTACTAACAAGCACATTTTAAATTTTTATAGAAATTTGTTACAACTACACTTTTTCTTGGACTTAAAAAAAAGAGGATGAACACTATTTTTGATTCTTATTCACATATTTCTTACATTAATACCAACAGATGAACAAATAAGCGGATAAGGGGTTTTTTAAGGGTGTTTTATGGCATGAAGATTTAAAAATATAATAAATTAAAAAAGTACTGGTAACCCATCCAACTTCAAAACAAATTTTTTAAAGGAGGTTGACAGTCTCTTTTAGCCTTGCATTTACTCGTCCACACAGACTGTGGACCTATGTGTGGAGCTATCCAGCAAAGCAATTGGTGAGTACAGTACTTATACAATGTACTGTAAAGAAATGCTCAGTTTCTTGGCTTAACTATTGATCAGCATCTAGATTGGAATAACCATGTGGACAAAATTTTACCAAAAATTAGTTCTGGAATATTTGCTTTGAGGAAAATGTCTTTTTATTGTAATATTGAAACAATGCGTAAAATCTATTTTGCATACATACATTCCCATATTGCTTTTGGGATTTGTTTATTTGGAGCAACTTCAAAAATTAATCTTGAAAATATATAAAAAAAACAAGAATATGCAATTAGAATAATCCTAAAACTACAGCGTGATGCCTCTGTGAAAAAACACTTCGTTGAACTCAATATTTTGACAGTCTACGGACAGTATATTTTTGACTGCATTTTAATGGCAATTAAGAAAGCTGATTCTCGTCCTGCAGATTATATTTCAACCCTTCATAAATACAATACTCGACATAAAGACTCCATAATAACATATAAACATCAAACAAAATTTTTTGAAAAGAAACCTTCCTACATCGGTCAAAGATATTTAAATACAATTCCAAAAGAAATTAAAAAAGAAAGTAATAAAAACAAATTTAAAAAAAGATTAAAAGAATATCTGATTAAAATAGCTCCGTATTCTTTTGAAGATTTTTTCCACCCATCACAGTCATAATGAATAGGTACATAAACACTTTTTCAGTCTCCTGCATAGAGTGGATGAGATTGTCACTTAGGCTAGTTTGAGTTGTTGTACAACCTGACACTATTCGATGTATATATTGTACAAAATAATGAATAAAGAAGTTTGAATTGAATTGAATTGAATTGAATTGAATTGAATGTAGTATGGGGCACCAGAAACTGTACCCAATGGGCGTGTTGTATATTTCAATACCAACCTGCAAAAAATTAAAATCATAAAAAGATAAAATAATCCAAACAACAGACCTTCTCCACACTTGGATGTCAGTCTCAAGAGAGAAGAGAACATCGGACAGCAGCCGCTGGTGGATGTACGACCATTTGAACTCCGGAATGCGAAACGGAGGACGGCTCGGTCCTGGGCTGAACATCGGACGTGACCCGTTACTCTTGACTCTCTTGGCCTCTGTGTAACATAGAAATGTTAACAACTCTGTGGCAACAAGTGATGGTACAAACAGTACAAGGTTTATTGAGGTGATGAGTGGTAAAGGTTTCAGTAGTAATTCTAAGCTGAAAATTAAATTTAGGTATTGCTTAATACAGTATGGATATAAGGTGTATGAGAGTCAATTTCCACAACCTAAACAAATTGTTTTTACATCTGTGCCTAAGTGAAATAATTTCTTCAGGGTGATAGTGACAAACTTTCATGACCATTTTAGATTATAAAATTAATTTTAACAGTATTAAAAATATAATACACAAACACATATTTTTAGTTTTTGCAACTAACAGAGAATTTCAATTAAAACTTACACATCAATCAAAACTGTACAAATTAAAAAATCTAAAATAATCACGGGTAAGGTAGAATATCATGCAGTGAGTAGAGGTAAATGTAAATAAAAGAAAGAAACGTTATTTATCATCGAGAGAATAATTATTATACAGGATGATATTACAAAGGAAGTACACATTTTGAATAGCTTGTGTTTAGGTAAACGATCTTTGCTGTGGAAGATTTGTACACAGTTTTGTATCGATCAACATGTTTTTCAAGCAATTCAAAACATATACGACGCTTTTCACGAAAAAATACTAATACAGCTACAGACAGAAAACTGTTTTGTTTATTTAACAGTGTTTTACAACATTATTATTTGATACTTTTTCAAGTCTGTAAAACTTATCTGATAGGAAAACTGTTTGAAGCAAAAAATGCTGTTAATAAATAGTTAGCAACAACACTGTTAACTATTAAAAACTAATAAATACTCAAAATAATCAAACATAATAAAGAAATAAAATATCAAATTGCAAGCAATGAAAAGAATTACCCAGTATAAAACTCCTTTTTGATGTTTAGTTGAAAAACAAATGCATTATTTTAAGTGAAGATATCAACTTACAAAGGAATAGTTGCAGGAACTAATTTTCTTGCATACAATACAAAACTAGTTATTTAGGAAAATAAATGCTACTTTCAAGAAATGAACCAATTCAATAACTATATTAAATCCTATAGTTGGAGTGGAGGAAAGGGGACCAAAAGGAAGACTTTAATAGGAAGGATAAATTAGAAAACAAGACGATGACAAACAACGGAGCAAAACAAACTGTCAAAGGGCGAAAAAAATGAAAAGTTGAGACCCACATAAAATCTTACTTTAAACACCGACTTGAAACTACAGGAATTTTACACTCGGTGCACATTTTACAGAAATAAAAAGGTGAAAACAGGCAGCAACATGTGGAAACATGCGTGGAAACATGAATTTCAGTGTGGAAACAAACCATGGAAATGCATGGGCTCAACTTGTGTTGACATGGAGGTGCTATGGGGACGCTTCTGAGGTGACAAACGCACTTCTGCGAACACATCAGGTCCTCGTAATAACACTAACTGTCAACTCGCTCTTTCATCAGTTGAGTAAAGAAATTTACTAAAAAAATCTATCAGTCTTTGGAGAGAAATTTTATATAGATTCAGATTTCTATGCTCTACTTTATTGGGACTATTATACCCAAAAGAAGAATTCATCATTGTCTCCAGCATTGATTTATAACATGTAATAAATAGGTTACGTATTTGTCGTCGATCCTACTGTAGTCTCAAGCAACTATTTTCTGATGGCTTGGAAATAAAACTAAAATGTTCCAAAATTAGTCGCTGAGACTATATAGGATTGACGACGTTTAGGTACGTAACCTTAAATCCAAAAATGGTTAAGCTGACTTAAGCGGTTCTTGAGTTGATACCTTAAAATCTAGAAAGATCCGGTAGGTAGAATATTTGCTATTGATTTGTGATGATGAAGCTATGTATTAAATTACCTGTAAACTATTAAAATATGTTAATTTGAAAGTGCTTATAATGAAGGAAAGTAGAACTATGAACTGTACTATGTATAGCTTTGAAAATGTTTGTTAAATACTACAGTAGGCTATTTTGGTTAGTAAACAAAGTATTTAAAAAGACGCTAAGGTCTTTAAATGGTAGAGGGAGTTTAAAGCAAATCAGATATTTGTTAAGCGTATTTAAGGAAAAAGCAAAAAGTAAGGGATTAGATCATAGTAGAAAGCAACTGATAGGAAAGTTCAAAGCTAGATAAGTATTGCTAAATGCTATCAATAAGTTACCAATTTTGGCTAATTCACACTGTTATGTGTAATTTTCTATTACATTTTAGAAAGATATCTTGTAAAACGTACACTGGACATTTAATAACATTAAAGCCTTTGGCTACCGAATCTGATTAGACATTTTGAAAATCAATATCGTTTTAAAATCGCTCACACCTGTATTCCTGTACCGGCTGCACTTTTAAAATTCAGCCTAAACCAGGGGTGCCCATCCCCCCCTAGACTCATGACGCACCCCCCCCCCAATTGAGCGACAGCCCCCCCCCACCATAAAAAATGAGGTACACAACAAATGAGAAACATAATTCCCCCGCCCAGCACTATTTGAAAACCCAGTTATCTATATAAATAAAGTTATAGTTTTGTCTGTACATTGCTCAGAATGGTACATATCTTATACAGTATATTAAAAGTGACAGGGTTTTTTTTATTTCACGATTCTGAATCAACCACTTGACGAATTTTCATGATTTTTGTGTTGAAAGAAAGATAATTTTGAGAACTAGGGAATGTCGAAGCCATAATTTTAGTTTAGGGTTTTAGTTTTTTAGTAATTTAGTTTAAAATTTTAAAAAGTCTAGCAGCCGACGCTAACATTCTACTCTAGCTTTTGACATAATATCATTTGCAACAGCTGTAAACATTCAGCGTTTTCGACACAAATTCAGCCTTTGGATGAAAATGAAATGACATACGTAGAATTGACTTATTTTTAATATGTGTAATGCTTTAATCATTGATACGTTCATTTATTCGGTAAGAGAATGAGAGTTTATTTAAATACACATAATAAAATACTAGATGTTCTAATTTATTTTTTGAGCAGTCTTTAAAATATTTAGTTTGTTTTAGTGCAATATAATTTGTTGTAACTACCAGCTGGATGGATATAAAAATATTCTATAAAACTATTAGGTTAGTTTATTTACTCTGTGATTTTGTCATTGATTATAGGAAATAAGTAAGATTCTATAACCATTGCTGTATACTAATCAAAGCTCACGAATCTTCAAAAGAAAGCTTATGAAAATTATTTTACTACTCGACATTTTTATGAAAGGTTGGGAAAATAACAATGAAAACATGTTTTAATTCATCTTGGCAGCTTTTTCTTTACTATAAATCTTGAGCTGATTAAACTATGCTTGAATTAGTAATAGACACACTATATATACAATTTTAATGGACTACTCGATTCCCGTACGTAGGACGGGCCAACAGCTCGTTTTGGGTTATTTTACGTTATCTCAATTTATGTTCGGCTGCCATGGCCCGGAAGGCATTTTACGCAGTCTACTCTAAAAAAACTAGAGTACCGATTATGATTCTAATGGTTTAATTGTATTCACAGGATTGGCGAGAGTGTCCTTAGCCATTAAAATATGGCCTCACTATTTTGGAAATAAAATAACGGACGATCAAAAACCCAATTTGGTGTGATTTTTCTAGTTTTTCTCCATGTTTACTAAATACGTCATTTATTAAATACTAATAATCTTTTAAGAGAACACGTCATATATGAAATTACGAACAGCTGTTTTGATAAAGATTCATTTTTCTAGCTGTCACTGAAATGTTTACATAAATGTTGTTTACAAATACTGTGTAGGCCCTAACCATTTCTGATCACGTTTGTAAGCAAATTCAAAACCATAAGTGAGATTAATAACCGTGGCTTTGGCTTGCATAACGGGTTTGATTTATCACGGGTAATATGTAACTGTAAATTAAATTAAATAACTAGCTATCATCCAGGTCGGGAACCGGAGATTCTGTGTGTATCAAGTTGTAGGCCTACTTGAATTTTGATTACCTGGAAAAGACCGCGAATCAGTGTTGTACAGGACTGGAAAACTTATCTTTCTATATAAAAAAATTAGAGCTTTATAGGTCACCTCAATTTAAGGAATTTTTAATTGCCAGAATATCTATATAGCGTTTGTAAAATCTGCTTAACGAATTGTCAGCGTCTTTCTCTTGATATAACGACCCCCTCTCCCTCCCTTTGGAAACATCACAGCTCATTTAATGAAAATGAAATGGAAACAACGCTTGCGCCAACAATCGTCTGCTCCGTTTTACACTTCTGTCTGCTGTGCGCTATGTTATAACAGATTTCAGATACAACAGCTGGGGAATGATGACGATATAATGCTTAGTGATTGAGTGATTAGTAACCATGGTAACTTTAGTAAGGTTGTGATTGGGCAATGAGTAGGCCTAAAAATATGGCGACTTGTTGAATTTGTGTATGAATTGAAGAGAAACCTAATAAAGAACAGAAGAACAAAGAAAAAGAATAACAAGATTGTTCTAGTTACATTCTTTTTTAAAAGGGTTTTTATTATCTCTAAATATAATTTTACACTTTTTTTTAACTTATCTATCAATTCCTATGCTGTGATACAGCACCTATCGGTAGCCTATCTGTCTATCATGAGCAGTAGCTTATAACACTTTCTAAAGGTTCCTTTAATATTTACGTTATCTATAGCAATGCCGTGTTTGGCTAGTTATTATTGGTTGAGTTTGAGTTAGCTATAATTTTAAACGTTGCCGTTTGTACAACTGAACACTGAACCAAAATAAATGATTTTAAATGTATAATAATAATGTAATTGCACAATAAATAATGATTGTGCAATATTGAATTTCGTTTACAGCGTTTTAATGGGTTTGTCATCTCTTTTTATACTATATTGGATCAACCGTATTTTTCATTACCCCCCCTCCCTATTAACTCAGGTAATCGAGTATCTACACAATAGTGTAAAGTATTGTAGCCTATGCTACTTGTTTGTATTTTAACGAGCTTTATGTCAACAAAGCGTTCTGTGCTGAGTCGCGGTGTAGCTGAACGTGTCTGTACCACATGTTATTTTTTATCTATCACAGCAGTTGAGTCATCCCGTGCGCTCCCTCTTAGATCTCACGTCTTGATAATCTTGAATAATAACTTCCTACACGAATCCTAAACTATCCTAAAATCCTATTTTAACTAATTGAATTCAATAATATAAATATTGTTATTAATTAATCTACTTTCCATCTGGAAATTTCGTAATATATTTTTGATTGTCGTCACGTTAAACACTGTTTCAATTAACTTTAGCCCCCCCCATTTGAATTTTTGCAACCCCCCCCTAAAATTTCAATGACGCAGTCTGCGTCACAGCCCCCCCTTGTGGGCACCCCTGCTAAACTGAAAATCAGTTCCCAAATTATGAGGAAAGTATGTAACATTATTTGGTGTTTTTCCTTAAAGAGTAAGAAAACTATGCATAATTTATGAAACAGCTGTCAGATAGTACCTGGACTTTCAATGGCGTCTTCCTCCATATCTTGTTCTACAGGTCTCGGAGACTCTACTCTCGGCACCTCCACTCTCTGAGGGGACCCAGGTATGGTCATCGGTGCTCTCTGTGGCGAGGAGGTTAATTCTTCCGGTTGTAATTCAACATGTGGTTCAATTTCAGTTTTTTCAGTCTCTTTATCCTCAGCTTCCCTAGTGACTATGGACGGAACAACACTCTCTTTCTCGGAATGTTCACTTTCGGGAGTCACAATCGTATCACATTGTTCGTTTTCGTTTGAGCAACTTTCACTAACAGGTAACTCGGCTTTATCACTATCAGCACCATCTGCAGGATCTGCAGACTCGTGCGTTTCTTGTGAGTGGACGGACTCGGGTAACTTTTCAGAAACGCTTTTTGGAATGACGACCGGCTCGTTTTCTCGCTCGGTTGGCGTAAGGTACGCTTCTGACGTATCGCTATCGACAATTTCACGCTCGATTAACTTACTTACATCACTCTGCAACACAACATCACTATTTTCTACTTCACTCAATGTCCTTTCTTCCGTTTCACTAGCTTCATTCCCTAATATATTTACAACAGGCAAATCAGTGTCTTCACAGTTGACAGCACTATCTTCATCTTTCACGCTCGCACCGTCTTCTTGGATTCCTCTTTCACTGTCCTCATCAATTTCCTTAACATCTTTAATCCCACTATGTTCTGCCTTTGTGGCATCATCTTTGTCTTCTTCAACAATTTGATCCTCAGCTTGTTTGAAAGTTTCATCATCCTTTTCTTGAACTGATTCCTCTTTTTCATTTTCAACATCTTCACTAGCTTCTTTGAAAGTCTCTTCTGATGTCTCTTGGTATTTCTCTTCCTTAGCATCCTTGAACATCTCTTCTTTGGCTTCATCTGTAATTTCTTCCTTGGCACCTTCTGTAATTTCTTTCTTGGCCTCTTCTGTAATTTCTTCCTTGGCCTCTTCTGTTATTTCTTTTTTGGCCTCTTCTGTTATTTCTTTCTCGACCTCTCCTGTAATTTCTTTCTTTGCCTCTTCTGTAATTTCTTCTTTGGCCTCTTCTGTATTTTTTTCCTTGGCCTCTTCTGTAGTTTCTTCCTTGCTATCTAGAGGAGTTTCAGTGGTCAAATCCAACTCAGTAATCACAACTGCAGACTGAGCGTCGTCAAAGCTCTCTTGTTTCATCACAACCGTATCCTCCTCAGCAGATGGTTCCTCGTCCTCAGTCGTCAGCTGTTCCAAGGACTCCTGGTCAGGCGGGGGCAGTTCCGGGGACCCAATGGGAATCGGTGTCTCGGCGGGAGGCAGTGGACTAACCGTCATCTCTGGTGTCTCGGTCTCATGGTCACAACTACACGTCGGTTCAGTCTCTCTGACTGTTGCTTCTTCTTTCTCGCCATTTGTGTTCTGCAACAAAATTGCAATATGAATTATGAAACAAAAGAAGCCAAGAAATATTCTTTACTGTGAATTAAAAGTGAAAGAAGTAAAAGCCATCTCACCCATTATTCACTCGTTTCATTGATACATTCAGGTCATATTATAGTATTACTTTACCTGGTAAGTTATGATGTTACGTGATGCCTGGTGCTCCCAACCACTGATGGTGCTGATGGGCCGTTGCTGGCGCAGTGCCGGGTCCGTGATGTTGTCTGACCGCTGGCGCTCGTAGTGTTCGTACATCTGAGCAAATTGCAGCTTGAACTCCTCATAGGATACCTGCGACAAATCATGAATTAAAAAATACTTTGTGTAGAAATGATTAAAAGTTTTCAAGAGTATGGATAAAGAACCTTCCTTAAGCCTTTTATTAGTCCGAAATGTTTAACAACAATATTCTGGCCAACAAAACACTACTAGGCCACTACCAGGACCACGAGTATAATAGGGCTACCTTCATTTGATTCATATAATTTTCCAAACTGTACCATGGCTGTGGCCATGTTGTGTTTGTGACAAAACTAGTAAGGAAGCCTATTTGGTCAACTAGCTGATGTTCAGCTTCAGATATTTTGAAATACTATCACATTATACAGATTTCTATAGCTGGTGGTATCTGTCCCACCAGTTTCTCTGACTTTTGGCTACACCAATACCCGACTTAAAGTATCTCTTATCTCTATGGCTTATCAACTTCAGCTTTCTGGCATTTCCCAGGGAACTTTTCCAAAATGGGATCTTTGGTATTTACTTGGTCCAACCAAACCAACAGCCTCTTCTGCACATTTCTTATGTCTCGTTTAAATTACACCAATCTCCCTCCTTGCATCTCTTTATGAGGGTTTTACAAGCAGGATGGAAAACTAGATAGATTAAATTGTTGAAAAGTGACTCCTTCGTTTGACAACATTACAATGCAGGTTTAAAAATAAGGCTCTATGCTGGGATTGTGAGTTATAGAATAAATACCAGTTAGCTTACCTAAAAAAACATACAGAAGACATATTCCACGGTAAACACACACTATCCTAAGAGACAAAATATTGCTTGTGTTGTCTGTGTGTACTATTGCATACCTGGACTTTTTCCAAGATAAGCTAGCTGCTATCTCATTATTCTAAAATCCCCAAAGCTAAAATGAAACACATTTTAAACACTACCTTGGAATGCACGATGGCTAGAGTGTCCACCCAGACTCTCCATCCTCCGTACTCATGTTTGATGGCGTGATGGAGCAACATGCGAAACAGAGAGTACACCATGTCCGATGTCTTCTGCTCTTCGGAGTTCTTCGGATGGATGTAGGCCATCGCGATCAGCCATTCCTATGACAGCGTAGGATTATAATATGGTTCGGGGGCTAATACTGTTTATAGTAATAGTTGGTGTAGCTAAAATATATCACAAGGCCTCTTAAGTGTATAAGATACAAAATAAGCAGTAAAACTTGGCACACGAACTGACTAACCCGGATTTCGATTGATAATCAATACTACACTTTTATTTGAGGGTTTGAACCAAAAAAATCTTGTGTGTCCTCACCTGCCAAACGGACATTTGAAGGACGGTTCTTCGGTTTTCCCGGTTGTTGTTACACAGAAGTGTCATGTCGGAGAGGAACAACTTCTTCACCTCCAACAGCTGATCCGTCTGCTTGGACTGACGGATCAGGGTAGCCACCACCTTCAGGATCACTGCAGAAAAAACAGAGTTGAGAAGAGCAGACTACACAAAAAAATACTTTTTCAACACTATATAAATTGTGGAACATCATAAATCTGTTTATACATCATTAAATGAAATGGTAAATAAATGTAAAGTGGTTTACAGAGTCTTAGCCAATTTAAATAACTTCTTGATTAGCATTTTAACGTGTAAATTTAACACGTTTTCAAACACAATTCAATATAAGACACTGTAAACATGTACAATACGGTATGTAAAAGATGTTACAATGATCGATTTTTACCAGGCACACCGTAAGTTATGACAAACAATTGGAGACTCTCAGAGCAAGTTTGACAAAGCCCAAGCGTAAAATTTCGATCTAAGAGCGATTCAGAGTTTTACCCTTTGTCAAATATTTAAGAATAAACAAAAAAACAAATATTTTTGTTAAATAATTGGAATGGGTGCCAACATATTTAGAAATACTTACTTGGATTTTCCAACCTAAAGTGAGACTCTGGTTCAGGGTGTCTTGTGTATAATATCTGCTGACTGATGTGTTCTGTCATTATCTAAACAAAACATGTAATTAGATGTAAGTGTTAACAAGTTGTGAATTCTAACATTACTACAAAATACAATGCTAGCATCCTGGTTCTTCTTCTTCTACAGTATTCTAGAGATTTTATTCCTAACGAGGGCAGGGCTGGGGGAATTATTGACCATTGGTACTTTTAGGAGTCTTGAATTTTATAGAAAATAAAATATGTATGGGTCATTAAATCAAACCTAAAAATATGACAACACTGACAAATTTCCCTCACAGGGGACGCAGCAACAGTTGGATGATGAATCCTCACTAGAGAAGTAATTTATTATTTTTTTTAGTCAATTTCCCGAATTAAATCAGTTAGGAGGTTTGATTTTCAAGTTGAGCTTTTGTTCTTTATCGCCAAAAGCATCAGAGAAGATTGAGCGATCAAAAATCTTGATTATTGCAATGATCGCAGGAAACGATAACGAAGTCTTGGCGACCCCTGGGGGGTGTTAATTTAACACCCCTAGTGTCTAGTGGTGTGACTCTCAATTGTTGGGAGCATTTCCCCAATCCTTCCCTTACACCACTCTAATTGACTAGATCATTACCTCATATAGAACGTTGTACGTAGGTAGTGTTAGGGTTTCCTCATTCAGCAACAATCTCTCGGCCAGAAGGGTGTACAAGTTGTGCGGACTCATGACATCGTATTTTCTCCTGCGGATGGACAAAAACTCATCAGCAAACTTAACAAAATTAGCTAACTTTTATTGAATTTTAAAACATAAACACAATTGTGGTGATAGGTGTATGCCACAAGTAGTAGTCTATAGACTTATTTAAAAAAATGCAGCTTTATTAATGTTTCACCTACAAATGGCGGAAATCTTGATGGGTTGAAAATAAAAGCGAGAGGATCAAAATCTAACAAAGGACTCTTTAAACAAAAAATTTGACTCCAAATCGACAATAATCTTATATGTGTGACATTCTGTGTTTATTTTATGTTAGTTTATACCATTCTAACTTTTTACATTTTTGTAAGGGAATGTTCGCAAATCTAGTTTTTTTACTATTAAATTTTTAAATCTACATTTTAATAGATAGAATCATTAATTTATAGCCCAATAAACTCGTATGTTTTTCCATTTAGTAATCAACAATTTAAGTAAAGAATTCTGCATCACTTTGAGCACAAGTTCAAAATCAATTCAGTTCAAACAAGATGCTTTCGCTACAACAACCAAAGCCAGTCTCACTTGTGAGTAGAGCGACTGAGGAAGAAGCCGAGCAGTTTGAGAGCCTGCAGCCTGATCAGCTGACTCTCCGAGGCTAACAGCTTGAAAACCGTCCGGACACCGTGCTTCATGTCAAACGCTGGCACCATGGCGGCCGGGTGGTCGCTCATAAGGCCTGCCACAACAACAGCGACAATCAGATATGTTTTAAACATAGCAACACCCTACTACAATATACACAGGAATTAGTGATGTTCCAGACCTGCAGAGACACATAAGATAATGTTCAGATCTAGCTTAGTAAATATGTTGGTTTGTTGACAATAATACAACTGTCCTTGTTTGTATGAAAACAGGCAGAAAAAAATTACACCTTATTTATTTTTATTTTCAATTACGATCGGAAAATAGATATCGCAAGAACAGGGATGTTTAGTTCCGGCAAAAGCAACGATTGTTTTCTATGAGAAAACCTACGAGTCATAGGCGTGCCACTGCGTCTGGATTCTGGAACCTTCCACAAGCGTGCTGCAACCTGCTCCTCATAGAAAATGGTTCTGATTCCAGCCACATAGACTCAGCGCTAGTGTCAACGCGTCACTGCGAAGTGGAAGAAGGCTGAGTTTGCCCTTAGCCCAGTACAATGATCATCCACTTTGGATCTGGTGCTCGTCTTAAAAAAGCTTTAGTCTTAAGCCTGTCTCTTAGTAGGCTTGTGACATAGTTACCTTCCATTTTCAAATGAAATAAAACTCATTACGTCCGAATGATTGGCTATAAAATATTAATTTCACTAATAATATTACTGATATTATAACATTTTATAATAAATTAAGCCGTAAGTATGTAAAATAAGGGTGTTCTAGTATTTTTTTCATCAAAGTCACATTTGGCAGTTTTAGTGAGTTTTCAAATAAATACCTATGAGAGTCTGTACGACGTCGTGCAGATTCTCGTCCTCTCTGACAGTAGACAGGTAGTTGAGAATACTCTGCAGTTCATCCTCCTTGACTCCCTGCCCGACCATCATCAGCTGTTTCAGGAACAGGAGGATGTAGGCTCGCACTCCCAGGATGTCCTTCTGCGCTGGCCTCGGTCCGTCTGCAACATTAACACATAGTATCACGTACATTAGGATAAAAATACTTTGACGAAAAAGAAATAAGAATTTGATCTTTAGTCTATATTTGATAAAGTTATGAAATTGTAGTCATGGAAAGCCCACCTCAAGCTGAAATTTCACATATCTACTAATTTTAAAAATCAAATAACTTGGGAAAGAAAAGCGGTTTCTTGAAGGAAAACCTTACAATTTTTTTTCTCTTGCATAGAAGTTAATATTATAAGTCTCTAATTAAATCTTGCTATTTTAAATCGAATTGGATGTAGTTTAAGTGAGCTACAGACAGATTGCGCTGGTATAAATTACAGATTTTTATCAAATATGCAAATTTGTAAACCAAGTTAGACTGATAGGACAACTTATTGCGAGCTACAATCTTTTATACCAGTTCAACTATCTCAGTAACAAAAATACTTAGTAGAAAGTAGAGTTTCAGACACTAGCACACTCTGAATGGCTCATTTAATTAGACAATAGACAATGTTCTTTATTTACATATTTGTAAAGAGAATATTACATGCGCCAAACTATGGTTTTTTTTTTTATAAAAATTGGCAAAAGCTGGTCCTTAAAGATGGGATGTCTACTTCAGTATCCCGAGGTCAATGCTTGGTTGAACCACATATGTAGAATTGCTTAAACAGTACGGAGCAGTATCAATGAACATCTTACAACAAATTACAAATTAAATTTCTTTAAGTTAGTGCCGAGTCATTGGTGATAGTACACTCACCCATCCCCTTGGGTGTGATCCCGCTCTTGGCTCGCGGGTTGACCACCCAATAGTAGTACTTGAGAGTGTGTACAGTCTGCAGCACCGTGGACACCCGTCGGACGGTGGAGTAGATCTGCGTGTCGGCCAGGAACTCTGTGGCCAGGTAGGAGTACAATCGTGTCTGCACAGCGGCCGGAGTGTAGATCCACAAGGCGGGATTGAACAACACATGGTCCAACAGCTGCCACGTCAGGAACGAGAAACAAAACAACTGCACTTATGTTAGTTGTCCTCAACCCGTTGGCCTGACAGTGCATGAGCATGGCATATCTCCTTCTGTAGGGGAGCTTAGCGTACTTGTAGCATACTTAACGGTGATTTGGGCAAATACATTTCAGTTGTTCCAGAGTTTAGGGTAAATGATCTTTGCCTAACGTATTATTCTATGCTTAACGATGAGTTGGGCCTAGCATACATATTTGAGTGATTCTAGCGTAAAGGGTACATGAGCTTTGCCCAACGTATTGTGGCATACTTAACGGTGAGATGGGCCAAGCATACATATTGTAATAGTTCTAGCATTTACGGTACAGAAACATGACTAGAATACTGATTTTTGGAATTAATTTGATTGGCCTAGAATTAGCAGTGGTACATCAAACAGAGTACATAGTGAGTAAGCTTACACACAGAGAAGTAAAGAGGAGTAACTTGCTTATAAGACGATCGTGCACTTTCAGCAAGTAGGTTGTGCGGAAAATATAATTGTCACGAGCAATGATGAGACCAAGCAGTGAGAACTGTGTTAAAATTCTTATCACAGCTGGAACGGATCTTCCTCCACTGATATAGTCGAAAAGGATTGAGGGGTCAGTGTTGTACTTTGTCCCAGACACCAGCGTTACACCTACTAACACTCTTGTTGCCTACAGCAGGAGTTACTCTTAGCGGTCATTAGCAAAGACTTATATTGCCTCAACAGACTTGTTATATTGAAAGCTTGTATTATATCTAGCTGAAATTCAGTACACATAACTTATAAGACTAAAAAAAACTTATGAAAATAAAAAATCAATTTTTCCAAAATTTACTTTTCTTAGTAACAGTATTTTTGAAACAATATTGATTTACGATTTACATTTCACCAAATAAGTACTTTTACAAAACAAAGTTCTGTGAGTTTAACAAAAAAATGCTGGCATTGAACAATCGCCCCTCACCTGTTTGAGCAGAAGTTCGCTGTTGGAGGTCAGACACGTGACCAGATGTTTGGTGAGGCCTAGGAAGGAGCTGAGCACGTCCAACGTCAGGTGTTCTCGGGACGAGCGTTGTAACATGAAGCTGATCACTAGAAATCCTCGGTTCTGTATCATATGTTGCTGTACAGTGGACGAGCTCTCGACCAGCTCGCAGATGAAACCCAGCAGCTTGGAGCTGTGTAAGGTTAAGGGGAAAAATGGTTTTAGCATAGGAGTATATATAAACGCAAGATCAGGTCATTAGCAGAAAATGTGTAGCAAACACCTTGTCGGAAATCCAAAATCAGGTCAATAGATATAGACTTTCTCGTCTTAATTTTACAATATTGTGAGTGCAAAGGTTTTGTAAGATCGTTTAAAATCTGCCAAATCATTACAGACTCCCACTAGTTTGAACACTTTTGGACTAGATCTTTGTAATATGAGACAAACGTGACAAACGTTAACCCCAAATGAATGGATAGATATCATTACCATTATGTGTACAGTTGTACAGTTCTATACTAATGAGGGAAACCAGCAATAAAATCTGTACAGATTGTAGACCGTTTCATAATTTGTGAAGTTATCTTACCAAAGTGTTGAATCTAAAGTGTTTAGCATGCCATTTAAAAAGACATTTAACTATTCCAGTAGCTAAAATTTTAAAACATATACCTACTATATTAGAGATTTGACACTAACAGTGTATATGATTAGAGAAATCTGCTTAAAATTAATCTTAAATGCGATATAATTTACAAACCAGAGTGTTGGATCTCGTCGTCCGTCCATGGAGTCGTAAGGCAGGTCCAGTTGGGAGAAGAGGGGGAATAGCACTTGAATACCTCCGATGGAGTTTAAAGTGCTGTGAATGGAATGTGTGATCACAGCTTTGACATCCTGCGGCAAAACACAAGGTTAACATTCTTCGGAGACATAATAGCGGCAGTATATATATAAATGTACAACGTCAACTATTCATATACGTTTAATAGCAGCGTACATACTCACAATACCTACAATATTGTACAGGAAGGTTACCAAACACAATTTTCCTCAAGGATTCATCCGAGGGACCTTATTTCAGATCGGCTACGCTGAGATAATTTTTTTTAGGAGGTTGGCAGTCTCTTTTACTTTGTATTTGCCCGTCCGTATGGGCCACAGAGGCCTGTGCATGGAACGTATCCAGCAAAGCAAGGGGTGAGCCGGTTCAGTACAAGGGTGAACTGTACTGATAAAAAGTAGTGGCAGGTAAAAGGATCCAAAACCACAACATCGCTGCCTTGGGCTTGAAGTCCATTGCTCTACTAAGCCACTGACTCACCATACTAATTTGCACATGATGCTTCACTACAGCTTCAACTATTAATGGAAGCTTATAATTTCCCTATCACTTAAGTTTTGTATCCAATTTTGTGTTGAGACTAATGCAACGTTTTCACAAATCCAGGAGGCGGGCAGGTTACCCGCCTCTGGTAACTTAAAATTCAATGAGAGGCAGGTAACCTGCCCTGTAATCTGCCTGTCTACTGCCCTCGTGCAAACGCAGCTTTAGTGATGAACAAATTAGATGCCAGGAGGTTAAACCCAATGTTTTCAGCCAAATTTATATTCTCTGTTCTATAAATTAAACCTTTGTACAGAATTACAGTTTAACCGATGTTTTCTATCTACTCAACACTTGATAGTATATATTCTGTACCAATAGAATACGATCAGATTTTGTATTGGTTAAATAAGTCACTTGTAGGCTACACTCACTTGTAACATGAGGGCGTGAGGCGTGTGGACAAAGTAGGACGTGTTACCCTTGGGGGCAGACTGCAGACACAACTGACTATCGGTGGCTACAGGATTGTACATGAACACAATGGCACTGGATAGTTTACCGTCGTATAAAACCTGTCAATACAACAAATAGCGTGTAAGAAAAATATCCAAGTAGCTTAAAAAACACATTTTAGAAGAATACACAGTAAAACCCTTTTTTAACCGTACCTCGTCAACCGAAACCAATAAGAAACGGCAATCAATTGGAAGATTAGCTAGGCAACTAGAATTTTCCGACGTGGTGTGAGTGGTTGGCCAACAAATTTTAATGGAGCAGGCAACAATTGGTATATCAAACTGTGATAAAGTTTACAAAACAATTGTAATTTTTAAGATGAAATAAATTAATAACATAAAACATTGCACCATTTGTCTCAGTTAAGCAGGGTTTTCCTGTGCAACTGAGCAAGCTTAAGTGTTTGAAATTCTTAATATAACATTTCATCACGTTTTGTAAAAAACGTATAGTGTTTTTTCATACAAATTTACTTATCTTAGAAATAATTATGAATGATTGTGCAAAGTTATTAACTTCTTAAATTATTTTTGTTTTGAATACCAATTAGATTTCCAAAAACATTCCAAATTAAATTAGCGAAAGCATGACTATACATCGTGGTGTTACTTAAACAAACCGCTCTAGCCAATATTTAAATAAACAAATTGTTTAAGTAATTTCAAAATAGCAATAATTTAAAAAATAAATTTTTAGTGCCCATGCAGTTAACTGCTGCAGTAACAATAGGAGAATAAATTAAATTCCAAACAACTACTAACCTAAAGCACATTGAAAACAAATATAAACAAATTTAACTACTACAAACAATCACAACAAAACTAAACCTGCTGATTCTATTTTTTTGATATGTAGACATTCATGCATTTAGCGAAAGAAATAGTACATTTCACAATTATGGTCCAACATAATGGTAATGTACTGAAACTGGAGTGTAAAAACTAACAATATAATCAGGCATCTACAAAATCAAATAACTAATTTACTCACAAACAAACATTTAGCAAATGACATTGATGTAAGAACTCACCACAAGATAAATTAATAAATCTAGATCAAGGGCAGATATCAATAAGAGTATATGAAATAATCAGTAAAATTGACCTATACAGATTGTTTTCAACAGAAAAAAACACAGCACCCAATGTAAGTAGTTCAAAACGTAAAAGAAAAATTATAATATGAAATGTACACTGTAGGATACTACAGTAAATTTTGTTTGTTGAATCAATTTCTCTACGGGATTAAGATTTCTGGAGTGTTACTGTCAAAGTAATCAGTCAATAGTAAATGTACGTTATCGGTTTGCTATTCAATTAATAGGTCAGAAACACATTGATGGAATTAGTGAACAAGAGAGTTTAAGAAACGTTTTTATATAATTTATTATGTGAAGAATATTTTTTTTATGAATAAAAGTTGAGTTTCGAAAAGGATGTTATAATCTATTAAGACCTAAACAATTTTTTTTCAATGGGGTTTTTACAGTAACATACTTTTGTGTAATAAGAGCATTCATGTGTTATATGTAGTATTTAATTTCAGGTTAGGTTAGGTTCTGGTTGTGGTGAGCTTACAGCTTTGGCGACGTGCAGAGTCATGCCTTGTGCTGGGTCAGACCCGGGCGCCGAGCCCGGCCCGGCTGTCAGTGCGAGACTCACCCGCTTGTGGTTGTCGGGCAGACTTAAGTGGCACTCGTTGTCGAAGCGGAACTGGCTCTGCGGATGCAAAAGTTAGGTTAAAATGTTAATATTTATTAATCGGTATAATTTACCTTTTTATTGGTAGGCTAAGGTGTCGAAAGTTGAAGTTGTAGAGAACATATTTCATGTCGATTACGACACATCATCAGCTGTGTCATAATACAGGTTAAAACATCAGCTCACATTGAGAGTGTTTGTCACACATTAGAATAAAACAATGATCACAAATACAAAAACGGAGACGACAACGAACACAAATTATTTACAAACACAGTTTATGACATTGAGAACTCGGCCGAATCACACGACATATTTGAAAGAATACAGATGATGGTATCATAGCATCCTTTTTTACTTTTAAGAGACACAAAGAGAACATTAAAGACATTAATATAAACATTTATTAACCAATTATTAGATTCGGCAACAACGCTCAGTCCTCGTTGGCTCCTTTGAAGTCACATGGTAATAAGATCCTCTGTCCTCTCTCAACTACACTTTCTGGTGGTCCCTATCTTATGCCAGGATGATATATTATTAGGCTAGCTTATAATAGGCAAGACTAGAATAGCTTATGTTGGATTTATTTAATATTAGGCTAACTTGTGTTGGGTTTAGGCAATATTAGGCCGAGCGCACCTTGTAGCCGGGCCCGAGACGATGCATGGCACAGATCTGGTGCGTACTGAGCGCCTCACTGAACAGATAGATGGCCGACATCTGCCCACAGAAGACCCTCTCTTCATCCAACTCAGGCGTCGCTCCAATGTAGCACTTGTCAAATGGCTGCAACCAAAATTAGAAGCTAAGTTGATCTATTATTTTTTGGTAAGGAATTAATCAAATATTAATTCAGTGATTGTTTCTACAGATAAGTAAGGTACAGAGGAAATATTCAATGATTTACATAAGTGGTGTCTAGCACTAGTGCTGGTGTCTAGGACAAAATCGAACACCACCCCCTCCCTCACATGTATGTACTACAACCCTCTCTGTGGAGGAAGACGCTGTGCCTTTTGCGATAGAAATCGACACAGTGCTCTCTGCTTGGGCTCTTCCTTGCTTGTCACAAGTATATTTCCAGCACAACATCCTAGAGATAAAGCGCAAGGTCCTCCCATAATCTAATTTTCTCTGTACCTTACTTCTCTGTGATGTTCTTTTATAAATTACGGCAAACTGCCGATTCTTTTAAAGATGTTTTATTTTACAAACATTTCAACCATTTGGATGCATAGCATACATTGCAACTAAAATCATTATCTAGTAATAAACAAGAGAAATGGACTTACATCATTGGTCGAGACAAACCAAGCCATTTCTGTGCTGGAGGCGAGTTGTCCATTGACAAGGCACTTTATCTCACTCTTGGTCCAGCGGTTGTAGATGTACACCACTGCGATCATGTACCACTGAACAAACAGACAACACATCGTGACAATTTACGCACATAATAGGCTAAACCCTAATTTTGAAAAGGGAGGTTTTGTTTAAAAAACGGTAGAAAGGGTAATATTTTCTTAAAACTATGAGTTCAGCTATTGTGAGGAGAAAGTGTGTATCAGCTCAGTTTTTGAGTTTTGACACTTTACGCTTCTGGCCATTTCTCTTTTACTTTTACTTTTGGTACACAAGACTATCTGTTACCAACAAGCATAGTGTACAAGTACAACCAGAAATTTGGAAAAAAAAATATTTTAAATGCAAATTTATTGTTGAATACAAAGAAAAAAAGAGGATTCAAGAGAAGTTAAACCAACAGGTCAAAGAAGAGCTTTTTAAAACATTAAGATTCCATTTCATAGTCTGACACTTGTAGTTTGTCAATGAGGAAAGTATCGTAAGGTTTCATAGATTGAGAAGTCTACTTGAGTTGCTTTAGGGCGTTATAGTTCCTCTTCAGACTTTTTAAAATGTGACTGAATATAACGGCTCTCTTTTGAACTATGTTCCGCTCCAAGATATAGTTAGTAAAACAATATTAATTAGACAGCCTACTGTTGCTACAGCTGCGTCGGACTGAGAGAACTTGCGGCCCTAGGCAAAACGAACTCCAAACTGAACATCTCCGGGGACATCATTGTCACCGGTAATTGCAAAAAATTATTGATTTGAAAAAAAAAATCAATTTCAGTTTAAAAAAGTTTGTAAATGTGCGGCCCACTTTTGTTCGAGGTAAATGCGGCACTAGAATACAGTCACTTGCATTTATTATCAAATATCAAAGAACTTAAACTACATCAAACATCTTGCTTCACAGACAAGATCTTTACTGTTCAGAATGCCTCTATCCTGGAAGAGTAAAGGATTGCTTCTCATCTGACGTTTCATACATATAACTTGGATTTAAGCAGTAGAAGATAGTTTTTAGTTTTTACCTTCCTCGGTTGGAACTCGTACTTGACGCAGTGTTGAAATCCCTTGCCCTTGATCTTCATGGAGGTGAGGACAAGGCAATTGCCCACAAAATGGGCCGAATATCCGATACCTTTACTGGTCTTGAAACTGCAAAAACAGATAGCTTAATGCCACACATGTATCGCAAACATTTTGTTTGAAACGTTATGTGAAAAATACTGCTTATCCACCACAACACGAGAAATAATTACACAAAAATTCATGACGGTATTACAGATTGATTCACATGGTTTAAAACTTGGTAAATATTTGGTTAAAACCCAATTCTTTGACCCTATAGATTTAGGGAATTTCGTTTGATAAATTCAAAGAACTTATTTAGTAACTAGTCAAATATTCTACACTCTTTAGGCCACCAATATGAGGTTTCTCAATTATCCATACTAAACAATACCAAGTTTAGTAACGTACATTTTTTCATTTCATACAAAGGGTATAGCTACATCAAAACCCAGTTCCCTCTTCTTCTAACAGGAACCCCACTTCCTGCTAGATAACGCTGCCTAGGATTCTTAACATACTAGGGAAATAACATTCTTAAAGAATGTTTTGTGTTCAACTATTATTGCCAAGATTATTTACCAGTAAAGGTACGGTTTTTCCCTTTCAATGTTGACCGAGTTGATAGGGTCGAGACGGAACCACGTCGTGAACGTGAAGCCACTCTCGTACGGCCACCTCGCTAATGGCGGCAGAACCATAGCCTGCAGAAACAGTGTAATAAATTGATAGCACAACAGCATAGCTGAATCATCATTCCTTATGTTATAATACACTTCCAACCAATATGGACAAGTGTTTTTTGATGCCTGTACCTAAACACTGATTATAGCTATTCATTTCCATCCAGACCAAAAGGAGATCACTTGCAAGATGTAACTGGTTAAAACGTTGTCTAATAGTTCCAATAGACTAAAAAAACCAAAACAAAACAGTCAAATAGTATCACTATGGTGTAACCCATGTCTTCCATATGCTCCAAAGAAAGGAATAATAGAGGAGAAATTGTGGAACGAAACAAATTTTCTCAGGTGTTTCAACACAAATTAAAATAATCCCCACTTAACAGTAATATTTTTTAACGGAGATCTAAAAAAATCTTTATATTTGGATTAAACATATGTATTTAAAGTTTAGAATACTACTCAAAATATGGGATGACCTTACAACTAAAATGTCTAAGGCTGTTTCTCATCTCTATACTACGACTATTGTACATATGAAGTTTTTGTTTCAATGTGTGTTTGTACTGTACAATTCACAAGTGTAATTTTTCATGTTGATGGAATAATTTCTGTTAAAACCTTAAATACTGTAACTGTAGGTAGAAGTAATTATATGAAACTGATTAAAACTAAAATAACACAGATTTAACATCGATTCCATCCGTTATAAGCAGTGATAATTCAATGAAATAAGCTGTGATAATCATAACGTTCACAGATTATATAAAGGTGACATTACTCGTCTCCATATAAATTTATACAAATCCCCGATGGGACCGTATGATTAACATTGCAGATGATGTGACCTAGCGAGCGTATTGCTGTTATGTAAATGTTAAAATCTCACGGGTGTAACAACTCAATGGTAAACATAGATGTGTTTGATTGCTTTATATAAAATTACAAAAATTATGACAACTAAACTTGCATTTTTACTTTACAGATTATCCATCAATTTAAATTTTTGACTATCAAATTAGTTTTGAATAATAAATTACAGAAAACTACCAGAAAATATGTCTGTGGATATATAAATATGACTGATATAACTCAATATTTCCTCAATATTTCTTGGTATCTCAATTGGAAAACTTACAACCATACTAATATTACAACAACCTGAAAACTATCTCTAGTTGAGCATTTTAAAACTTATAGAGCACAAATGGATTGTCGATAACCAGTAAAAAAGGGGAAAGAAACCCATAGATTGCCCACCCAAAAAAAAACCTTAACATATCACAGCTTCAAAAAACTTATTTCTTAAAATTTCAACCAAGATTTGCATGCTTTTGAAGATTGACACGAAAATGTCACCTCTAAATTAAGTTTTTTGTCCTAGGACACTATACGGCCTAGACCGTGTTTGTTTTTCATATTACTTCAGGCTAGATTCAGAGGATGCGGCATTTACACTCGGATAAAATCCATTGGCGATTTGGAGGAATTCGAACCCAGGACCATGGGGACCGAAGTCCTGCGCTATGCCACTAAACCAGCTCGCTACTCATAGTGAACACGTAACTCACCGAGCCCTTCTTGCCGGGAAAGCTGAAGAACACGTCTGGTCCATTCCTCTGTGGCATCTGTCTCAACACGTTGAGTAGCTTCGTCGAGTGTCTCGGCTGAAACGAAAAGTCACTTGAAATACAACAAAGTAGGAAGAAAAAATCACAAATTCCAAAACAAATAAAAAGAAACGATTCAAAGACCAGCAACAGGGACATAACTGTTGCTCCACCTCAAAACATGAGATAATTTTATAGCTAGATCTATCATGAAACAACAAAACACGAGAAAATGTTCAAAACTTGGCTTCAGAGCAAAGCTACGAAAATATTAACTCGACATATAATTCAATACGAGATACATCTAATTTTGTCCATACTTGAGATCACAATATGAGTGTCAGAGCTGAAGAGATACATTTTAAAACACGATAATTAGAAGAGTAATATTAAATCGTGATGGTTGTCAACAAGACAAACTAAAACTTGATAAATAACCTACACTACTTATTGAATCAAAATATGAGTATTAGCTACAAAAAATATATAATTTATAACTTTAGTAAACACTAGAAAATTTACAAACATGACAAAACTAAAGACAAGAAACTTCCAGAGAAACAACTTGAAACAAGAAACAAGCGAGAACACAAAACACGACTCGACTTGCGTAATCCTCGCAAAGTTACGCCAAACTGATTCCCAACTTGATACAGATTCGTTTCAGTATTAACGACACAATATCACCGACTCCATTGTGAACACTTCGCCCGGAGTTTCACCATTGTGGCGAATGATTATCAAGTTAGATCTGCGACAATGCGACCAGACTGTGTTCACTTAATCTGACAATGTCTTCATAGAGACTATGAATACTTAAACAATATTGTAAAGTAGTCTATACATTCCTCACCAAGTAAAAATTTATTTTAACTTACTTTTAAAATACAACACACATCACTTAAACAAACAGTTAAAAAGTAAATTCTATGAAAATCTTTAATTTATTTAAAGTCTTGTACATTCTTGCATGATGTGTTTAATATTTTTCCCTCCCTCTTTTTTACGATCCATCAAACTTCTCCAACCATATCCCATCATAGAATATAAAAACGTATGGAAAAACTCAATTTGATATAGGTAATAAAGACTCCATAACATTATCCCAGGACCTCAATGACACCTTTGACTGAAGATACCTTTGAAGTGTATATTAAATTCAATTTAAGTTGTTACTGGTTTTAGAAGAAAAAAGTAATTTAGTAATTGAGCCACCTAAAAAAGACTGTCTTGCTGTAAAATAGCGTTTTCCTGCCTCTACATCTAATAACCCCAAACTGAAAGGCAACATATTTTTAACAAAAACATCTTAAACATTCTATTCAACTATCAAAGTTTGAGAAACCATAGGAGAAAACTGAACTGCAATAGCCACACTACACGAGGCTCAATTGACAATATTTGTTTTAAATTGAAATACAAATGGTATTCAAAGTCAACAATAGTATTGATTGTTAGAGTTATATATACACAGAAGACGATTATTTCGTTTAGAATGTTGAATATCTTCTGTGCTGTGGGCCAAGTCAAAATTTTAAGTCAGGAGGAAGAGCACCCTAAGATTTGATTTACGTCTAGACTACAATTGTACACAATCTATTGCAACAATTAAGTTATTTAATGATTATTACAGATTTGATTTGATTTTAGGTACTCACCCACTTTCCGTTGATCGCTTTCATCGTTCCAAATAACAGTTTGAGTTCTTTGACTGTTATACTGTAGCTAGCCAACACCCCTAGCATGTCTATGAGGAGGTCTGGAAATAATAGAGATAATGTTATGAGAATCAAGTGGTTATTTTAATAATTGTGGGGTTCATGGTGTAACGAAGACACGTTTAGTAAAGTTATGAAAGTGTAGTGGATTTAGTGTTTATATTCTAGAGTCCTTCAATTTGACTATTAAAGAACAGTTATAATTATCACACTGTAACCACCCACTCATATTTGCTTTGTAATGTGAGTAAGGAGAAGTGTTTTCCTCCTCCAACCCAAGAACATAAACTTATTATTGAAAAAAGTTCTATGTTATTTGTTTATTTGTAAATTTTCATCAAATTTGTCAGAAATGTAAACCTAACCATTACGAAATACGGTACATAAAATCTAAGTTATGAAAACAAAATAATTTACTTTCGATAAAATTCAGTTTCAACTCCCAACAGAGAGACTTATACACAATCAAAACATTTCAATTTAATTAATAACAAACACCCAATTATGTAAGGCAATCAAAACAATCGAGACTGAAAACAATCTTGATTGAAAACAAAGCGAAGAATCATTCGATACATAATTCGATTATGCAGCGTAATTGAATCAGCCCGGGAGCGACAAGGAGGGCTTTTGACTTGAGTGGGAGACAAAGGAACTTACGACAAAAGATATCGTGTTTAATGCATATTGATCAGTCGAGAAACAATAAATGAATCAGCGCGGAATTTAGAACAGACACGGACAAAGGCGACTATTTTACTAGCAAATTCCGCTACAGGGAAGTACTGTACTTTAATTATCTACGGGGTAAAACCTAGGTCAATTGACATTCTTCTTTCATCGCATTTTCCTATGAGGAAGTATTTATTTATAGACTCTTCATAGTAAAGAAGGACTTAGGTCTAGAAACACAGTGCTTTTAACGATTATCCTTTATAATAGCCGTTTCTATGCTTTATGGTAAGATTTATGTCCATTGCAATTGTTATCATTTCCCATAAATAGAGCAGCTGTTACCATACTCTTCGTGGTAGGATTTTGGTATAGGACCACTGTTATATGGGTAATATAAGCTATGGGAGAGAAGCTAGTTTGTGGTCTTCATGGGTAGAGGAATACTCGTTCTTTTAACGAACCCCCCTCTGGAGAAGTAGTTGTTATAGTTGCCATGGTAATACCTAGGTCTGGCACCACTGTATTTGAAGCAAATTCTTCTGTTAGGAGGTAGCCAAAATTGTGTTCTTCATAGTATTCATAGCAGCATTTGCCTGTCCACATAGATTTTGAGCCTGTGCGTTGAACATATCTAGCAAAGCAAGGGGTGAGCCGAGATGGGAACAATTGAGAACTGTACTGATAAAAGTTGATAGACACCAAAAACAATTGCAAACCCAAAACAAAGCTGCCATAGACTCGTAGTCCATCGTGCGACAGACTTAGCCCCCGATTCACTATGATAGAGGTGGTACCTAGTTTCAAGAACCACACGTTCTTTTAGCAAATTCTCCTATGGAGTTGCACCTTTTACTGTAGTCAAAAGAGGAGGTCCCCTTTGTTTAAAAGTTTTGAAGGAAGAGAGTTTTGCAAACTTCACTATCACTGTCTCTTCCGACGAGCTCTCTAAGACCAATCAGGCTACCATACAGCTACCGTCTATTTATAGTCTTAAGTCCTATGGTGGTCAGTCTACAATCCAAAGTCTACATAAAGGTTAGTCTATAATCTATAGTCAAGTCACCTGCTACTATAGTCTCTGCCTTGGTCAATCTGTGTAGGACGTGTTCTATCAGGCCGACGTCCGTACACGCCTGAAGGTTGCGCACACTTTTGCGCAAGATGGCGATGAACACACTCCATATCTCGGCCTGGAAAACCAAAAACCAAAAGTTACAAACTATTATCAATAAAATATTGACCATACATATTGCATTTTAAAATTGACAAGAACCTACTTTAAGGCATCCAAAAGCAAAAAATCTGTGTATATAAACAGTGTATTTCAACAATGCACAAAAACCAAAAACTTCATGGTCATAGTATAGTGAACAATTTGATAAAATCCAAGTAATGTATAGTTTTCACGGGGAACCAGGAGAGTGTTCACATTTAACGGTTTAACACGTGTATATCAGTGGCGTGGGAAGGATGTGACTTGTTGTTATTTATACAGATTTTGATAAGCATTGTGACAAAGGTCAATCGATGCTTAGTTGCAGCCGACGAGTCGCAGAAACATCATGGGATATTTGGCGAACTTTTGCGTTGTAGCAGTGTTTTTGGTCAAGGATGTTATAACTGTCCCAAAATCGGTGAGTTTTTAGTTTGTGTCTAGTTAGGTGCATTATTAAAGTTGCAAACATGAACACAATTCTGTTTTGAACCGAATCGTGAGAAAGGAGAAAGTTTTGAGATAGCATCACAACGAGAAATCGATATTTGATTAACTGTTAATTACAATTATAGCAATATATGAAGTTTGATAACTAAAAATCAAGAAAAATATATCTCTAATGAAAGCTGAAAAATCTTTCTAAAACTGAATGGAACAAAATATAGTTTCATTTTGACGGCCAGGGAACATTAGTAGTTCACAATTCAAACTCAACTTTGTACATTACAATAAATATTGGCGAAAATTGTTAAAAAATTCTTCAAAATGCCACAACCGCATCTAAAAACAAACTGTATATTTTTCACCTTCCACAGGATTTATCAGGGGACACCCAGAGTAGAAAATAAGCAATAGACAACTTTGCAAAGCATTGATTTTGGTTCCAAACACTCTATTCCCATGGACAGCAAACCTAATCGTTTTACAAACACAAGTAGGCTACATGTATATGTGCACATGATTCGCAAAACAGTCATGTTCGCAACCTTGACTAAGGAGATTACTAACTCCGACTTGACTGTTTCCAGGGCCCGTACACTATTGTGATGCAACGTGAAGAAACCTGTGAAGACACCGGAACCAACCAAGTGTACTTCGGTGGCAATATGAAAAAGAACGGGAACGGAATGTTGATGTACACGGGAGACATCTTATTTGATGTTCCGTGGGACAACAAGCTCCAGGTATACGGACTCTCACAAATGTTGTTATGATCTACGCTGCTGGCCTTTTTAATGAGGTTACACATTTTAAGGGGGGATAAGGGGGGTAGGGACCTAAAATGTCCCTCTTAGGTTGGCAACATACCCACATAGTAAGGATGTATTGGTATTGTTTTGTAGTTGTGATTCTTATAAAATGTCATTATTATTCCAAATGTACCATTTATGAAAATTAAAATCCCACCAAGGTGAACTATTATCACGTAACACTTAATATCAAAGTACACCCCTTAATTTATAGACACCTCTTATCAAGGAACGACATTTATCAACTATATCAGTTCTGGAAGTTGATTGCATGATGGTAAGGAGTACACATTGTTTTTTTTTTAGTCAGCAAAGCACTAATCGGTTGCATTTATGTAGTATTTACCACTATTCTTAATTACTGCTCAAATTTCAGGCAGAGGTCGACTTACAGCAGTTCCGTAACGGAGTGTACACACCGAAAATCATCTATCACAAGTTTAAAAACTGCGTAGGAATGTTGAAATACGGCCTGGACTTGTGGGGCGCCTTCTTCAGAGCTGCCAACTACAACTTCACTCAATGTCCTCTACCGGCGGTGAGACGTTTGTTCAAATAAAGTTGATCTGACTGAGGTGAAACCCTATTGAGATGATCCCAAGATCTTAAACAATGGATATTGTAAAGAAATAATGAGAAAGAAATAATGCGCAAACACTTTAATATTCACACAAGATAGATGTGTATATTTTCTTTTAATTCGTAATTTCAAATAAACCAATTTATTATTTCTTAATGTTTCCATTTATATTTTTACTTTCTACTTTACTAATTGGATAAAACATTAGAGATAACACAATAAGTAAAATGTATAAACACAGAAAACACAGTTGTAATGATTTTAATTTATATAAAGTTTATAAATGTGTTACCAAAATATACAACTAATGTCGCAAAACATTGTTCAGCCCCACAAATTCTAACATTTAGAAAATTGAATCCAACCGACAACTCTATTGAGGATTTTTAACAGATTTTTTATGAAATAATAATCAAAATAACATTTTCAGGGTGTCTATCCTGTCAAAGACTGGGAGGTTCGCATTGAGTTCAACAATCTGAAAACGTTCATCTACGGATCTTACAAGATGGTGACGGTATTCTCTCGAGAGAACAAGAGAGTCGGCTGCTTTACCATATATGGAGATGTAGTGCCAAGGAAAGAGGAGTGAATATTAACATGACCATTACATATTTGAGGAGTACATAAACAGGTGTATAATAATCAAACTTAGGGGAAATAAACGTTGTTTTCACTTTTACCAGGCAATCTTTTTATTTATTTAATAGAATAGCTAGTTATTGCGTTTCTGCTTTGACTATGCTCTAGTCAAAGTCAGTGGAGTCAGTGGAGCCATTAACTGTACAAACAATGCTTCAACATACTAAATTATTAGTTGTTTAAAAGTCTACCTGTATTTTAGAGGAAATAATTTGAAACAGGTAATTTATAAATTCATAAACACATAATACCCTTTGTTCCCATGACCCTATCTAGCTGGTTTGCAAACTCATTCAAGTTTATCCTGTCCTACAAATTCATGCCAAACTTCATCAAGATATGACTTGTATTACTCAAATCATTGTGTTCACAGACACACGAACAGGCATCTGATTCTAGAAATGTCCACAAGTATGAAATTGAACAAGGAACATTTATTTAAAGTCAAACACAATCACCAAACCATAGAACAAACTCTATAAGTACTTAATTGAATTGTGACAAAATAAAGAAAAATCATCTATTCCAGAAAATTTCCAAATATATTGCCACCATGAAAGCATATTATGACAAGCTACTTAATATGATGAAAATAAAAAAACCAAATAAATGAAAAATCTTTGGTACAAAATCTAAAGAAAATTACCATCTAATTACATAACGTCTTATTCCTTATAGAAAATAAGGCGCAACAAGAGTATAAAGTATTTAAAAAATCACCAAAGGAATACCTGTTATTATTATTCTGAAGTCCATACACACTAAAACCGTATTTATCTATCAGATACACGAATAGTTGGAATAAAAAATAGACACACGACAAACTGTCACAAGGTAAAATTAATTATTAAAAACAATATAATTAGTCTAGCTTATTGAATCGTCACAACAGCTGTTGCATCACAGACTACGGGCCGTAGAGTGAGACAGAAAACAACAATGCTATAATCAGCTGTCTGCCGTCTGGATCTGAGTTTTCACTGTTTTCCACATTTTGCTGCATAAAATAACTTGTGTATTTAATCATAAACAATTATTAATCTGTTTCTTTCTTAGAATTTACACTGTTAATTGCCACTACATATTCAACTTTTTAGCAGTGATTAATATTAAGAAATATAAGTTTCAAAACAATCAACTGTTTACAAAATAATCACACGATTATGTATCTGGAACCTTATAATGATGCTGTGAGTTTAAAATGTTTAAGTACATTTGAAAACTCTAATAATTATTGGAATTTTAGTCCTTCTAAACTATTTTCGTATGACAAATAATTTCGTATAACATACTATACCGGTAAATTTGTAAGAGTGTAGTAGTCTAATAACATGCAATGGTTGTAAAAATATATATTAATCACTGAACTTACAGTATGTATGGTAATTTACTAAGGTATACAAAATATTTACCTTTTTCCAAGTACTGCACCATAATTAATTTTGCTTTTAACACGACCTTTATATGACCTTTACTTGACACACGTATACAATACTCACAAAGACTACACGATGTATAAACTAAACCCCAAACGAACACGACACGAAATAGATAATAAAATCGCATACGAACACCACACAGAGTAGACAATGAAACCCTAACGAACATTGCCTGTAGTAACAGGAAAGTACATCGAACTGTTCAACGATACGAACAAGACAACAATGAACCAATAAGAAACCAGCACGTCATGCGAGTAAAGAACTTGCTGATCAGCTGTTTTCCGCGTAAGCATAAATTGGCCTTTGGTTAAGAACACAAGCCAGCACTTACATAGTACTACGACGATAAGTGTGCATTATTTTCTTGTGTTTAAATTATTTATACACAGGTAATAATTAACGCTACATTTACTTCCGTTATTTAATAGAATTACAATAAATATTATTATACTCCCTTTACTTACATGTAATGTAGTATTTACCTATATTAGTGAATATGTCGCTGTCATTAAAATAAATTTGTCACCAAATTACAAGCTTTCTAAGAGAAAGTTTTTAAGGGAATCAGCGTATGTTATGCGTTACAAGTGAGATAGGTTTCTTGAATTTGTAAAAATATTTTCATTTAACTATTATCTACTGACTAAAAGCCTTTTAATAGCTGATATAATATAAACGTAACCACTATTATGTAACATGGACGATTGCTATTTATAATATTATTCAACAATACATGTACATCTGCGGTGGCAGCGGAAAAATTATCAGATATTATCTCACTCAAGGTCAATTTGTGCAACAAAAATCGATGTCAACATTGACATAATGCAACAATGGAATTTCTAGTTTTTCCTTGCATCTGATATTTAATCATACTGTTTTACCTTCTTCCTGTGAACATTTTTAAAGTCTCTCATCTAACAATAATTCACCGCGATAGAAACACGATTGCTAAATATTTATGAACTGGATGAATGCTTAACAAGATTCAGTTTTAATTGACATAAATGAATTTTAAGTAACCCGTTTTCAACTGACACAATTGTTTACTTTGCAAATTTCTTTTTGCAAAACGTAAATCGGAGTCTGCTTAACAAATGTGTGGATGAAACTATTAGATGTATAATACATGTTTAGGAGTAACAGTAAAAATAATTAAAGAATCTTTCCATCTATAGATTTAGTACGACAAGGCGTTTTGCCGTTACACCTATTATCCAGCAATCCCACTCAACCAATGTTTACAATTAAGGTGTTATTTTAAGCGTACAATCTAGTGCAGGTAATCACCTGGTGGGCTTCACCCCCGCCTTAAGGGTGCGTTTCAAAAATCCAGAAATGCTGACCAACCTTTTTTATAACGGTTGAGAATGTGAATTGTTGTTGTGATTCTAGTTGAATGTTTAACCACAGTCGGATTGTAAATAAGAGACGGTATAGTCAATGAAATTGTAATTTAAATATGTTTTTTTTATGGATGATTGTAACCTGATTGAGGAAGGTAAATCAGTCGTTATGAAATATATTAGCAGTCAAAAATATTATTTTATAGTAGTGTTATTCGCCCAATAACTTTCTTACTCCACTTTTAGCCGTGGAATTTATATTAATCAACACAACCTCTTAAGTAATCGGGTAGCTGTAGTGTTCGTCTTTAAAACCTAGCTCACTTGTTCATTTTCAAGCACTGATCAATTTTGTAACTAGATTCCACCCGTCATTGGGCTAATTGATAATGCTATCCAACAAAAGGTCAACTGATAGTAACAAAACCAGGGTTTCGACAATAACCCTAAAAAAATGTCCATGGCTTGGATTAATAATATGAAACTATTTCTTAAACGTATTAATCATTACCGGTGTATACAAACTACAGTAAAGTTTATTATTTTGGGACACACAAAGTAAAAAGAACATTGTTCATAAGCCGTTTAAATATTAAGGGATGAATGTAACTTGAAACAAAGTTCAGCCCTAACAAGTCGCCTAACGAACTGCTCTAGCTCTTTACAGAATTAAAACTTTCCTTCGACTCACTCTATTCTTTCATTCATCAAAACGAATACTCCGTTTACTGAACTACTTTCACTTAATTTACTCGATTTATCTTGAACTCAACACAAAATATTGACCCAAAACGGGTTGTTACTTCGCTCGTGGCCTAAAGGGACACTTTTCTGGCTGAGCTCAAGTTTAACACAGACATTTCCTACACTATCTCAACTGCGAGTGACACTTTTGACCAATGAGTGGAACTTTATTTATGTCTTTCTGAAACTCGCAGCTATTTTGATGTAGCAAACGAATCTAAAAAAATACTTACCAAAAAGGTAATAGGGTATCTCAAACACTAAGCCATTGTACAAATTTAAAATTACTAATAGTTTGTAAAACTTCTTATAATAGTCCGTTTACAAAAGTTAGGAGGTTTGAGGATAAGTTCCCCCACCACTTTTTTTGCTTATTATACGTAACAGATGATTGACGTTTAGAAAAAACTCAGCTGTTGAGCTAAGTTTTAATGGTAGGATCAAGACGTGAAAGGGATAGATTTCTTCCCCTAAAACCACCTTAGTTTTGTGAACGAAGTATAGCACAGCTGTCAACTATTCTCTGAAGATATCGTCAGAAAAAGAAACTACTCATGTAGTCTAATAAGTTGTTTTCTCTAGCTATCTTTCTAAAAAAAAACAACAATCTTATACTGTTTTCATACTTCATCACAAGCTCATTAATACTGCTTGTCCAAAAACTTTAAGTTTCTAAATGTTATACACATAAATAAGCCTAAGATAAAACCTCGGGGTTCACACGAAGGGAAATAAAATAACCAGATTTATTGGCAGGATTAAATAAGCCGTGTTTCCATCACAAGCAATGTATTTATAGCCTGGTGGGAAATCAGTGCAGGAATATCCGTATAAGCTATGTAATCGGGATTGTACTTCGTCTATGTCGCAGAAGTGGTTAAAAAATACGTCTGGAAAAATAAACATTATCATTGGGGACGGTAAAAAACGGGAGCCTAGCTTCGAACCACTACATTTGTTCGTATTTGTAATCCATCTTGCATTTAATTTTTTCCTAACTCTAATCAAAAGCAGTTCAAAGTCATTATTGTTTTATTTTTCGTTTTACAAATTAGCAGAGAGATCGTTTTCGAAAATTTTTAAAAGTGTTGGAGTATCTAATCTCTTAATGTTATTTGAAGTTAAACAGCTTAAAAGTATTTTTTTAAATACATAAGCCTTTGAAAGATGTGTATTGTTGTCAGAAATGTTGATAACTAGTTTAAAATCACAACATCTTGCCGTTGTTGAAAATGATTGTACATTCTTGGAAACTTGAATTTGTAAATTAAGTCCCATTTTTAGATGCTCAAGATGCATTTCAATCCTATTTAATATCCAAAGCTATAAAAATACACATTATCATATATAAGTATCAAAGTAGCTGAGATATACTATGGTACTCTCATTCTTTTCTAAGTGGCCGAACAAAGTAAAACATATCCAACATCAAAAAACAAACTTTAAGGAACAAAGTCTACTCTAGTTTTTTTACTCGTTTCGTACGACTAAAGATCCATTTCTTT